GATTGGTTATTTATGAAATTACAACGAAAAATTTTTTTTTTCTAACGAATATAAAAGAAAGTTGTTCTTCAAGATTTTTATTAGACAATTTGATATTCTGAATATCAAAGAGCAAGGCAATGGAGTGATAAAACACGGCTCAGAAAAACTCTAAACATTTTTCAATCGCATTAACTCATAACTTCGGAACTGACGAATTTAAAACCCTCTTTCTGAGGCTTTATTTTGCTTAATATAATATGATTTACAAGATTTTATAGTGAAGTGTGAAGCACCTTCAACATTCTCAGTACTTAAATTACAATTTGCTATTGACGTAGCAAATAAAATATGTAGCAACTATTAAAATAGATTCTTGGAACTTGATTTTATTATCAACCCCGGTCTACCTATGCATCCCGACACATGTGGCCGGGTGTATGTCTATCGCCCGAATAGCTATTGTGCTAAATGACAATAGGTTTCGAAAACAGAATAGGTTCACCAGACATGCCGCAAAAAAGTATATGAAAATTTGCTCATAACAATATCAAGCGAGTTCTTACGCTCGAGATTTTCAATTATAGATCCTGACTATATGATATTTTTATGAAAGTAGTATGAAAAAACGTTATAATAACATTAAAAAGGAATTCTTGACAATGCCTCATTTCAATTTTGCTAAGATATGATGGTAGTTAGCATTCAGGCGACATTTTGTGAGGCGCTCGAATGAGTTTTAACAATAGAATGAAAAGGAAAGCGTAGCCTATGAAAAGAGTTCAAGGAATAATGAATTCCAACGTTTTGTACTGCTTAAAAATACAACATTTAATCAATACTTTTGAGCGTAAAATCGGCTTAGACACTCCTAAGTGAGAATTGTCAATTTTATTGTCATAGAACTGGTCAAATTATTACTAACGCTGAAGAAAATGTTGCAATAATAATTCGACATCTCACATGATTTCTAAAAGATAAAATTTTACATTTGAAAAATAGACTAAATGTAAAGAAAACATGTTCCAAAAATTTTTCTATAGTTATATCCACATGACATATTAAACTAGATGCAGATAGCATTTTGCCTTAAGGCAAGTGGCAAAAACTTACCGATTTGAGTAAATAATCATAACGAATTGATTTTAGCAACTTTTGAAATTGAGATGATAGAATTTTGTGATTTCGACACAGCCCATTTTTCTTAAATTTTATTGAATTTTGTCATTAAACTACTTTGTGTCGTAGACCTACAATATTTTTAATTCAAGATAAAATATATTCATTATTATTAAACATATTAGATTTTTAATATGTTCTTTAGAACTATGAACCTTATCATCAAAATAACTTTATTCAAACTCGTGAAATACTTTTTTTAAGAAATAATTACGTAGAGAAGACCCGGTTGATCTTTACCAGAAACTAATCAGCATGATTCTCTAATATGTTTCGAACAGATTTTAATTTTCAAAAGTAATTATTTCATTTTTATTATATTTTTATATAGATTGACTTGTATATTATAGAATTTATTAATTAGCAATTACTTCATTTTTCTAATGGCGGTTCAAGTCCTAAATACTAATTACAATGACAAACCGATCATGTCATATTAGAAGTGTGACTTCAATTACATTATTGTTTTCAAATATTATACATATTTTTAATGCTTTTATAAATATATAATCTTTAGTTTATCATTATATAACTATTTGCACTTTTTACTATAATTGTTCAAAAGTACGATTTGGCGATTTTGGCAACCTACTGTTTTTTTGATTTGCCGTGAATAGTTCTGGAAAAACATTGATTTTATTTCTGAAATGTTTTTCTAATGTGTTGGTTGATCAAAGACATTCAGTAAAATCATATAGGCTAGGGAGAAGACAATGGTCCAAATTGACTTTCAGTGATTATACTGTGAAAACCTAACCAACCACATCGCAAACCATAATACATATCAAACAAACACCTATCGAACTATGTTTATTATAATTCCCAGCTAATTTATTCTAACTATTCCCAGTAGAAATATTTGATTAAATTTGTAAATAGTGCTTATTTTTAAGCTATATGTTATAAAATAATATAGTTTACATCTAAAAATTAAGTTGTGGTATTACTTTATTAATATCAATATAATTTAACTGATGCTATAGAATGTATTATGACATTTAACAAATATGAAAAGTTGAATTCATTTTCTACTCCATTAAATGACTGTACGCCAGTCTAATGAACAATTCACTTATTTCATTCATTACTCTTGCTCATATATGTAAATTTTGTTAACAAATTTTATACCAATATTATAATTATAAAATATCACTGCTTTACAAATCTCAAAGTTTAATAAATAATTCGAATATAAATATGTATATCCATTACTAGAGATAGTAGGTATATTTCAGGCGCAGCATCGCGTTATTCAAATCGCGAATGAAATAGTGCCTTTCGGTTTGTGCAAAATTAATGCACTAGATCCGCAGCCAAGTTGAATTCACCATCCCGACCTGATGTATAATGCACAAATGGCCCGAATTTCAAATATCATTGTTTTTACATTGACGCTTATATGATATATCGTAATGTGGGCTTTTGCCTGGATGCCCATCAACTCAGTCGGGAGACCCAAATTAACAGGAATTAATAGGAATTATGGTCTGGATAATGTGCAGCGGCAAATGTATATTATATATATATATATATATATATATATATTTATATGTGTGTGTACTTTATCACATTATATTATATATAATGTATATTAGGGATTAATTATAGCTCCTAACTTTGATGCGCTTAATGGATCGTCTTCAGTTTATGTAGGTTTATAGTTTATTATATATATTAAGGTGGTCCTTATTATGGACATTTTTGAATTTCCTTGCTCCAAGGGCTCAAACGGTTCCAAATTCATAAAAAACGATTCTCTGAAAGTTTTAGCTCATAATATTAACTTTTAGATAGAGCGCAATTCAATCAAAGTTTTGTATGAAAATAGCATGAAAAAATTTTCAAACATTTTGCAGAGCGTCGAATTTTCAATAAAAAATGACAAGAATTTTCACTTTTAATTCATTTGTCGCTAAGTTATACCTAAATAAATTGTTTTAATTTTCAAATTTTTTTCCATGCTATTTCCATACAAAGTTTGATTGAATTGCGCACTATCTAAAAGTTAATATTATGAACTAAAACTTTCAGAGAATTATTTTTTATCAATTAAGAATCATTTGAGTCCTTGGGAGCAAAGAAATTCGAAAATGTCCATATTAAGGATCGGATTACCCTAATATATATATATATATATATATATATATATATATATATATATATATATATATATATATACTTAAACAAATTAATTCGTTTTTTTCAACAAAAATTATATTAATCATTATGAAATTCAACTTCAAAATACATATAGCTCCGTTCAAAAAAAGTATATTTCTTTCACCATAAGCTGGCTCAGAAAAATTGAATACAGTTAACTAACTTTGAAACAATTTTTTAGCAAATTGCTCTACCAATGCTATTTAAGCTACGTATAAGTGGCATTTTCCCTTAAGGGGGTTGTTCTTTTTTTATTTTTCTTTGCTTCGGTTTTGAGATTTTTTGATATTATGAAAGATAAAAACCTTAGAATCATTTAAAAAAAAAATCATCTCAATATCTATTTTTTTGAAGAAGTTATAGATATATATATCTCTATATGTATGATCCTCTGAAAGCGTTTTTTTATCGCTCCGCGAGCTATTGTATGCCAGATTCCTCTTTTTCATTATAATACCTCATGCACATGACCTTTTTAAGGTGTCAGCATCTTTGAACACCAATGTGTATTTAGTACATTAAATTAAATGGTGTATTCAGTACATTATATTAAGAACTTTAAATACGTTTTTCTCAAATTGACTTTTTTCAATGCGGTGCCACAAATTAAACAAAAACTGCAAGTCGGATCGACTTGCATTTTTTTTAATTTGTTCACCACTGCAATATCGAGTCCCCCTACCTCAAACAACTTGATAACATTACGCAAAAAAAATTTGCGAAGCTTCTCGCCCCAAAAAAAGGCCTTTTTTGACACTTTTTTTTAAAATAGCTGCCATTTTTTTCCTTCTTGCTTTTTTTCTTTTATTTTGGTAGGGGGACTGGAAACAAACTTCTTCTTCAACGTAATTTCTTTTTTTTTTTGTTTCGGGCGATGCGCAACGGATTTATCTGTGGCACCGCAAAAGAGATCGATTTTGCAAGACCGACTTTGGCGCCCCCTGGTTAAAAAATGACGGCGCAAAAAGAAAAGAATAAAATTACGTAATATTCTATGAATTTGTAATTTTTGTTTAAAAAAAAACGCATGTTTCTATGATAAATACATTTCGAGAAAAAACAAAAACAAATACCTTGCATTTTTTGTAACGAAAAAAGAACAACCCCCTTAAGGCATAAGGTTCTTGACAGAGAATTCAATTTTGCACAAATTTGCCAGAAATCTTAGTTATTACAAGAAATAGTTTGTTTAGAAATAGCACATTATTAAAAGCAAAATGAAGAAGCGCCGAATATAAATACGATGTATTTTCTAGAAACGCGGACAACTAATGAATTTTTATTGTCAATACCGGTATTAATACCGGGATCCCAATATTTCAAACCTCAAATATCGAATGATATATCGGTATTCAGATTTTTGTACGGCATTGGAGCCCTATACCACGAAAAAAAATCTACAAAATAAGATTTTGAATTTATATTTTACAGTTCAAAATATTGTTTTGCAAATCAAGGACATTTCATAGCGCCATTCGAATGTTCACTAAAATGGTTAATGAGAAATTATATCAGCATGTATGATCATTTCATAAAATTAAATATATTTCGGAACAATATGCATTAGTACATAAATTTTATCATCAAACTACTAATAAAATATCGTATTATCACATCGCTAATAGGTAACTAAGAGTACAATTTATATTATTATCTAGAATACTGATTTAATTACTGCTACGTTTATAACTACTATTTTTAATAAAATTTGTATAATACGTGTAGTTTTTAATAAAATTCTAGTCTACATGTTTAATTCACATTCATAAATCCAGTACCGTTAAACTATTACATTTATTAAAATTCTGAGTTTTCTTCAGAGTAATTAGTTATCTTATATTAGATTCGCAAATTATCATATTTTCAAAACCAATCTCTTGAAAAATTCTCAGCTCAGTTGGGAATAATTTACATATACTTCAGCCAGACTAATAGCACTTTCGGCTAGCGATTTTCTTTCTCTTTGTTGAGGAAAACAGTCACGTTGTACGCATTAATTTTGTTGAAATTAGCATTTAAACAGAAATTTGGATAAATCGTATGAAATATAAACACAAGGCATTTAAAAAAATCGGGGTTAAAACTGTTGTTTTTTAGTTCGTATATCAAAGAATATTTCCTTAATTTTTTACCAGACATCTGATTATTATGTCATGCTGTTGCTGACTATACAGCTTCGTCCATATTTTACCACATTGTCTAAAATTTTTGAAGCATATTTATAAGAAAGCCTCCTAAACATTTTGATACTTTACAAAATAATATCATGGTTCCAATGCTAGCCAAGTATTTTGAGACTTCTATCAAGTAATATATCAGTTACCCAATTTGTGCTTGGTCATCTCAACTTTTTCCATAAGACAACTTGTTGACGACCTGTCTGTATCAAACGTCCTGGTAATACCAACAAAATCGGTTCTTCGTCAAAATTCTCAAGCGTTTTATCCTGCACAGCTTTGAAGCTAATGCACTGTCGCTTGCAATTTATTTCTGAGCAGTTTTGAAATTATGAAATAAGCTTAACTACTGCCTCTCGGCATGTTCTTCTTCTGATACAGGAATTCTAATATCATCTTCACTTCTATTTTCATCAGCGGCCGAACACGATACAGTTTCAACTTCAAAATCTGAATCATCACAGTTTTCTCTTAAATGTTTTTCAGGATAGCTAATAACTTTTGGTTTCTTGAACGCCTTATTAGTTCCCAAATCAGTTATCAAAAACACGCAGGTACTGATGCAGAATGGAATCGTTTGCACGTTCAAAAAATCGGGATAAGCTGGCGCCAAGGCCAGTTGTAAAATACATGTAATCAATATTCCTATACAGCTCAAAGTTGCAGTTTGGAAGTTGAGTCTGTAAAAGAATCCTCCTAATGCAGCTGCACAAAGTAAAGGATTATAACCCATTACTCCGTTATATGCCAGAGTCAAGTTGTCAAGTGATGCATTTGATATTGCCAAGAAGAAAAGTGGCCCAAAAAAAGCGCCTAGGAAACTTGATGCTGCCATTATTGGAGAAAATACGAAAATGCCGATGTAGATCAGGGTGGAAAATGCAAGGTCGTAGACCGCAAATACTTGACCAGAAGCTGCAACGGATCCATAGAATACCTAGGAAAACATCGTATTGTTTCTCTTGCTAATATTTTTATATAAATCCATAAACCAATATTTTCAGCCAAGCTCATGCGAATGAATAGCATTTAAGAGGTGCGATTATTCTTTTGATTAGTGATGTGCCAAGTCGAATCAAGTGATTCGAATCATTCGAATCAAGCCTTTAACGACTTGATTCGAATCAGATTTCACTTGATTCGAATCAACTCGCATCAAGCCGCGAAATATTTACTGTGATAAAATATGTATTAACACAAATTTTTCATAAATATAAAATTTTTCATAAATATAAATATAAAAAAAATGTATTAATTTAATTCAATATTATAATAATATAAAAAATAAATATCATAAATATAAAAAATAACCAATGAATTAAATCATGCGAGCCACCCGACTTTAATATGCTTAAATGTATCAGCCGACTCCAATCGTCTTTATATAACTTTAACCGCATTCATCGACTAACTATATCATCCGACTTCATATGACTCAAACCGAATCAAGCGGCGATATGAGTTATTCCGACTTCATGACTCAAACCGAATCAAGCGGCGATATGAGTTGTTCCGACTTCATATGAGCCAACTCGAATCAAGCGGCGATATGAGTTGTTCCGACTTATTATGAGCCAACTCGAATCAAGCGGCGTTATGAGTTGTTCCGACTTCATGAGCTAAACCGAATCAAGCGGCGTTACGAGTTATTCCGACTTCAATTCTGATTCGAATCATCCCGACTTCAAGCCGTTCGAGCGATATGAGTTAACCGTATGGGCGATACAGTGCGTCGTCGTTCTTGCGTGTTTATTTATTTTACGGAGCGCTGAGAGCGATTTTGTTCGTGAAATATCAATACACAATTTTGATAATAATTAAGTGTTTTAGATTTTAAATGTTATCAGAATAAACCACTCGAAATTATGAAACGAGTTCCGGGAATCTTTCAATATAATTCTCTTTGGAAACAATTACTAAATACCAGAAAGTTAGTAAATAATATGTTAACTTCTGATTATGTAAGTAATGGCAAATTCACATTAATGAAATTAACTTTCAGCTCTCAGTTTAGATGCGATCCTTTACTGATTACATAGTAAAATAAACAATCGACCCATGATTCCAAATATTGTTTTATATGCTTTAGTGATGCACAATTGTTTGGTAATCTATTATTGTAAATTAATTTGAAGATATTTTTCAGCCGTTCTCAAAATTATATCATTTTTAATAATTTTCAGAATATACTTTTTGATAGTAATTTATGTTTACAATTTTTACTTTGTCGGTTATATTGGTTAAACTGACAATTTTGATTATAAATTTGGATCATTTTTACTAAATTAATACATCCATGATTTTTTTCGTCCATATATTAGGTTGTCAAATATCTCACTTCCGCCTTTTTGTATTATAAACCAAGAGCAAAAAAGCGGAAGGGAGATATTTGACAACCTAATATATATACTTGATTCGAGTTGATTCGAATCATGATTCGAATCAGGTTTTTTTCTGATTCGAATCATTCGAATCGGGAATTTTTCGAGTCGGCACATCACTACTTTTGATTAATCTCACATACATATATTAAAACTGATGAACGATGGAAGATGTGATGTAATCAATATTTTCATATTCAATTGAGGGCATATTGCCATTTTGAAGTTTATATACGATACTGAATGAATTTTAAATATATGAAGTTTAATTTAACCATTGTAATATGATTTGTAATAACAAGTATAAAATTCATGATGACCGATAAAATAACAAAAATAAAATAAAGTAAATTAATGTTGATGTACCAGTGAAGTAGCATATACACATGAAGATGAATAAATGTATCTTGAATGCAGGAATATGATAAATGAAAAATTGATTAAACTATTAATCAATCAATATTCTTTTGGTTTAAAAACACGTAGGCACTTTCATTAATTGTTATATTCCAGTAAATAATAAATAAATCCAACCTCATTCAATATCACTGTTTTTCCTATATATTGTGTAATTAAAATAAAATGAAATAAACAATTTGTTAATCACAAATTACACAGATTAAACCGATAGTTGTAGCAATAGATTTAAGTATAGTCATTATTTGCTATAAAAATGAATAAATCGGGTAAATATATATATGATATTCTAAATTCAGATTTGCTTAATTAGAAAATGAAACATGATGATTACATGAAGAAAATACTTAAATCAGAAATAAACCGTGAAATTGAACCAAAATACCAAATCAAATTGTATAGAATTATCGAGCGTAGTTCGCGCTTTATTTTAGTCGCATGTATTGTAAAAAAATTAAATTTTAAATTCATTACAAAAATCATCAGAGCCTAAAAAATAAATTTCATATTTACTATACTTGACGTAGAATTTTCAAAAAAATTAAAATTACAATGAAGCGTTTATAATTTGTTAGTGTGACTAATGATATATGGTCGGTCAATCAGAGTCATGAGATTTGATGCGTCAAACTTAAAAATATTATAATTCAACTTGTATAGTATTATGCATGCTTTATTATGTAATAAATGGAAATTAAACATGCATATCAAAATTTGTTAGTAAATTATATGCGTATATAACGAGTTATTAATTTTACTTACATTGATCCAGTCGATGGGTAAAATTTCATCATCTATAGAGTCTTGCAGGGAAGCATGTGTGATATTAGATTCAGATATTTGAGACTGGAAAGATAAAATATAATTAATGTTATTATATTTTATAAGTTATATTTATTATGTATAACTATTAATATCTTTCATATGTAATCAATGTAAGATTTACGAGTATCATCAATTATATATTAGATTATGGCATAAGTATCTTTAGTCACTTAAGTCTTAAACCCAATGATGAATTATATTGAAGTTTTTGTAGAAAAAAATGTTCAAAAATTTGTCACCTGATCTTTTTTACCCTATAGGCGGCGTAAAATGGGACGGCCAGAGGACAAACAAGTTCTTGTCTTATTTTTAAATGCAAAGGGATTTTACGAACAAACAAATATATAACAATTACATTATTCAACCAAAGCTAAATATAAACTTCAGTATTATTATTACTATTACCATTTACTATTTAGTTACTAATTTTTGTTGTTTACAACATTGTCAGGGAAAAGGTTCAGTTGGTCAACTATGCACAAATTGATCAATCACATGTATGTTGACTATTTAAAAAAAAAGTGTAGTTCAAAGTCATGTCACCATATCAAGATATGCGACATATGATCGTTCTGCCAAAATTTGAGCCAATGCAATGACATTAGTGTAAACATTTGTGACAACAATATCATTTGTAGTATTTGTTTTGAAAGCAAATGTGAGGTTGCGTTTCATGAACGCATGAGCATGATGACAGAGGAGGCCGCTGGCCGTGCTTTGAATATAGACTGCACCATTAATAAATTATTATGCCAACGAATACTCCTACTCGTGGGACCGCAATTTGCAACATGCCAACCAGGTTGAAAAACGATATAATAAAACTAAATAAAATGTATCTCAATGTAAAGAGTATGATAATAATAATAATTCGTTCAAACAATTAATTTTACCACAAACTAAAATTTACTTCAAAATATACTTTTGTTTGTTCATATGTTATGTGAATAAAATTGCAGGTTCTTCCGAGTTGGCTATATATTTGTATATAGGTATGTATTCATATATATATAACAATTTTTGAATAGATTAGCGAATCAACTAATATATTATAATAAATTATTTTCTGTGATCTCTGGCACCAGACAATTGATTTTTTGTATAAACATATATTAAGAAATGAAAAAAGGCATATTTTCATATATCATTTTCAAAAAAAATGAATAAAATTAAATAATTATTAACTTCCCGTAGAATAAGTTAGAGGGTGTCCATTAATCACGTGAGCGAGTTTTTAGGAATTTTTAGACCCTCCCTCCCCCTTGGTGATATTTGATGATAATCAAAATTACCCCCCCCTTCCCCGCCAAACATCACGTGTATTTTTGGTTTACGTGAAAAAACTGTAAAAGTTTTAATTTTTTTTTAAAATGTTTGAACTTTTTTATAAAAATATAAAAATAATAAATACACGTGATATCTTGCTATACCCCTCCTTCCCCCACGTGATATTTCGTGATTTTTTGTCAAACCCCCCCTCCCCCTAAAAACCTCACGTGATTAATGGACGCCCCCTTATAGTAATCGCAAAAAAATCGAGAATGAAAATTTTTATATATCTTTACATTTGAAAACCTTCTGAACATTTTGGCATAGTTTAGAAAAAATGGATGCATGTATGTGTGCATGTGTGTGTGTTGATTATTTTCATTCCTCAATTGTTTAATTACGGTATGGAAAGTTCCAGCAACTTGCCTCATGGCACGATGCCATGCGCCCCACTAATTTAAAATTTTATTTGCTTAGGTTCAAAATGAAGTTTTAAATGCTTAAAATTTCCTTATGGATAAATATATCTTTTGCTATTATTATGGTTAATTAAAGTATGCTGACCCAGAGTTCATTTTATTTAATTTCAAAAATAATTTTTTATCTGATAACTTCACAATTTTATTTGTCGTGCAGTAAATAAAGTCTTGTTTTTACCAATAACCTTATGAAAAAAATATAATCTTTTTTCTTTATGCATTTTTTGCTATAATTGTGATAAACTATTTTAGTTTGTACTTGAATGATCGAGAATTTATTTGGTTTAATTCCGAAAATATTTTGTTTATTTAATAGCTGTAAGAAATTGATTTCTTTAATTTGAAAAATAAGTTTTTATCAAACAGTATTTCTCATGCTATAAATAAAGTTTTAGATGTTTCTAATTCTAAACTAAAGCAGTATCTAGAAAGATGACCGAGAGCTTATTTGATTTAATTTTGAAAGTAACTGTTGTTTCAATAGTTATTCAAAATTTTATTTTTCATGTCTAAAAATTTTTGATGTTTCTAGTTCCGTCATAAATAAATAATCATTATACGTCATAACCATAGAATTGTAAGGAACAAAAAAATAATTATAACACCTGCTACAATTATGAATAAGATGAACCAGAATGGTACTTAAAACTATGTATCAGGATAATCGAGTGTTTATTCTGTTTATTTTAAAAATATGCCCTTAATACTATTATCAACAACATTGCAACGTCATATAATCGATAGCTTCCAAGAAATACCTTACAGCCCAATGCTTTGAGTATAAATATCACATTTTATTGCTTGTTTTTACAAAATATTGTAACTTCATAAACCGTTTGCTATGCAAGATAAACCCCTAATACAACTTATTGCTTACATTTTATAGGGTGGACAATAAAAAGCTTTATAATACGGATATTTATCATGATTTTGGCCATTATAACAAAATATAATGGGCAGTACTGCCCTAGGGCAGATTCGTGAGCTGAGTTACACTTTAACTCAATTCAGGGAAGAGAGATTTTCGATAGCCATTTCACACCGCAGTGTCCAAAATTGAGTATTTTCAATTGGAAACAATTTTTTTTATCTATATTTTCAAGTAAAAACTTGAATCACCACTGCACGATGTCAGGTTGTCTAAAGCGGAGTTGGAACTCAGGACACCATCTACACGTGTATGTGGGCTTGAAAATAACGTTAAGGAACACCCACTGTTATGAAAATATGAAAAGCTACAAAAATAGGATATTTATATACAGAACAGTGTACGTAGAAATATTACATAGAAGTTCTGGAAATAGTTGATTTAGTCTCAATGATTTATTACCTACATGCTAACATATATTGAAATAATTTTTTATTATAATTTATTTATTTTAACAGCGATCTAAACTTAAGGGTTGTTTATGTGAGCTGTTGTGATGAAATAAGAATTAATCGCGACTGAAAATATACTGTCTTGTTCTGAACGAAAGCAGTTGTCTTATCTCTTTGTGTAAAATTTCATTATTACCAATAAACTACCAAGTTCTACTACGAAGACCAAGAACAATATTCGAAATACTTGATCGCTAATACGTTCTTAATAAATAAATTAGTTTTAAATTCAAAATTAACCAATAAGCTCATATTATTAACTTTCTGAAGAAAACGTTATAGTAATCGGAAAAAATTGAAAATAAAATTTTTAGCACATCTAGAGTCCAGGTTTATAGACAATGATGTATGTGTATTTGTGTGTTTGTATGTATGTATGTATGAAAGTATGTATGTATGTATGTATAAATATAGTGTATTTATGCGTGTGTTTTACTTAAAATACTTTAAGTTTTTTTATTATTATTATGTCATTTTAAAGCGAAAACTGCGGATCTGATCACTTCGCCGATAAAGTATCAAATCATTAAAATGCGCCAATATCGAAGAAAAAACAGCATTGAGAAATGCGTTCCCATAGAGAAACGAAGGCCGAGCCGTTGTATCAGAGAATTGACAAACACACCGCAGAACTTCGCGTTCCAATAAATCACATCGCATCGAACGCGCGACGATTGATTCCGTTCAATAGAAATATATTATATCAGCGATGCGGTATTTTCCGAGCAAATAAAATTTATACATCGTAATGTATTTGTAATTCTGCAGTAGACGATCGAAAGAAATAAATCTATTGAATCGTGCATTCGAAATTGCATTTGAAGTATACATATTAAATAGATGCGCAGAGAAATATGCAAAAGAGAAAAATCGCAAACTATAAGACGCATGAACGATCAATTTTATGATCGTTAGTTTAGTATATCATTATATCGATTAAAAGAAAAGACGTTCTAGATTTGATAGTAAAAAATAATTTATTCACATTAAAAGTTAATCAATCAAGCAAATTATAATTGAAATTTGTGACTAAAATTGTTACTATCTATCGTTGATTCAAATGAAGAAGATTTAAAATCATAAAATTTATAACTAATCAGTTTTATCACACATGCTGAAGAAGGAGTATTCTAAAATATGATCGAAAATCGAAAAAGATTCAAAAATCAAATCAAAATATCCTCGTCAAACATGTATTAATAATATTGTGTTACTAGATTTGTTATTTTAATAAGATTAATCTTATGTTCGAATTAAGAGTTTGCTTTTTCGAAAACATTTAACTTATACCAATGAACGACCAAATTCCACTATGAGGATCAAAAACAATATTTGAACTACTTGGTCACTCGATTTTTCTAAATAAATTCATTAGTTTTAAATTAAAAATAAACTACTAACCTCATATTATTAACTTCCTGTAGGGAACACTTTGTAGTAATCGTTATAGTAATCACATTTTTTTTTTAAAAAAATGCACATCACTTTAAAAAAATTGATGTATGCGTACATGTGGGTATGTATGTATGTACGTGTGTGTATGTATGTGCGGATAAAATTTTTCATCGACGTTTTAGAGATCAACCAATTTGAATGATTCACAAAACATTCGATTCCTTTTGATGATAAGACGTGTTTTGCTTGGATTTTAGTAAAGGAAGTTTCAGTCGTTTCGAAGATACATGGCAATAAGTACAAAAATGGCAATTTATTTAAAAAAAATTTTTTATTTATTCATTTATTTTGTAATTTAAATTATTTTTTGAGACAACAGACTGTCCGATTTGAATGATTTTGAAAACATTTTACTTGTATTAACAAAATGTTTGTTTCTTACGAATAAAAAAAATTATAGATTATTATAAATTTTAATGATTTTATGAATTATTTTACACTAATAATATGATAATGAATAACTATACTTGAAAAAATTGCGAATATTATATACGTGTGTAATAATTCAAAAAATAAATTACGTTCATGATCTAATCGATTCAAAATATTCAAGATACTAGCGTTTCAAAATTTAGATGTTGCATTATCGTATGTAATTGCTTGACTACTAATCTTGAGATAAATTTACCTTGTTAATTTCGGTGACAGAATTATGTCGCTCAATATTCACTCTATAAGTCCAGAGAACAATTAGTAGTAAATATTGTGTGATGTTGAAAGACCAGGTCAGACCAGGAGCTCCGGCTCTACCCAACAGAGATGCCAAATGCACTGCTAAGTATACTCTGAAATCACAAATCATTATTTAAAACAAATAGAAATTATACTTACTACTACCGCTTACTTACTTACAAATATCATAAATACTTTATGATATATTATTTATGATTCATCATTATCTAGTCTCCTAATTTTTAGTCTAATTTAATAAGCAGACTCAACATTATTATATACAAACAATAATTTTAATCAACTATGTTATTATATACCAACAACAACATAATCAACTGAGATTATGTAATTCGATATTGCTTGTATATTTACATATATAATGGTTATGACACAAGTTCAAAAGATTTTGGGATACTGCCTATTGGTTTGATTTTTATTCCATTTTCAGGATGTAAACTTATATTTTAAAATTTAAAAATCTTTTTCTAATTTTTTTTTAATCAAGAAAAGAGCGGAGAGTACAAAAAAGTTTTAAAAATATAAAGGTACCTTTATATTTTTAAATCGATTACATAGATAAAAACAAAAAACGTTTGAAAAGTTTTGACCTAATAATAAACAACATTGAAAAACAAAAAATAGTCATAAAATGTTTTAACTACTTAACGATCGATTTTTCTTTCATCAAGATAGGACTAAAATATCTGACTTTTTAATTTCAGATTTAAAAAGTTTGTTTATATTTTTTAACTTCCCGTAGGGTAAGTTATTGTAATGGGCCGAAAATCGGAATTGAAAATTTTTACATTTCTCGACGTTTTGAAGGTTTCTGAACGTTTTGGCATACCTCAGAAAAAATGGATGTGTGTGTGTGTGTGTGTGTGTGTGTGTGTGTGTGTATGTATGTATGGATACAAATTTTCGTCCACGTTTTCGGGCGTACGGATCAACCAATTTGAATGGTTTAAAAAACATTCGATTCCTATTAATAAGAAGAAGAGCTGATTAGTTTTTGGCAAAGACAGGTCCAGCAGTTACGGAGATAAGGAGCAAAGAGTGCAGAAAATAGAAATCGAGTTTTTGAGAGAACGGAGCATCCGATTTGAATGATCTAAAAAACATTCCATTAGTAATGATTGGGAAAAAGGGTAATTAGTTTTTCGCAAAGGCAGGCCCAGCCATTTCGGAGATACAGAGCTAAATGTACAAAAAATGGCAGTTTTTGAGAGAACTAAGCGTCCGATTCAATTGATTCAAAGAACTTTCTGCTTGTCTTAACAAAATAATTGATTTTGGAAAAAAAAATTTTGAACCATTTTTTTTTTTTTTTTTTTTTTTTTTTTTTTTTTTTTTTTTTAATTTTTTGTATATCGAAAATAATTCAGATTTTATTTTTAATTCTGACTTTAGTTCTAATATACTTTAAACAAATAATTTCAACTCTGCAATTCAGTTTATATAATTATTATAAACAGGGCCGGTCCTGGGGTCCTCAGCGCCCGCATGCAAGATCTGTTCTAGCGACCCCCCCCCCCAATAATTTTAACTGTTTTAACATTTATCATTAAAATTATATAAATATTTACGTAAATTCACAAAAAAATTGAAATAATCTAAAAGCGTATAAAATAAATTGATTTTAATTTTATTTAGAAAATCGAAGCGATTTGCGGGTTGACCATAATTAAATATTTTATATTTTCAAGTATTTCTAACATATATGTAATATTAATATTTGGGTTTTGAAACATTTCACTTATTTCATTAAACTCATTCTCATTTTTAAACATAAAATTCATTTTTCATGTTAGATTTTTTAAATTTCATTTTAATTTTTTTTTCATTATATACAATATCCAAAATTGCATCAGTAACTCATTGATATCGTAAAGCCAAATTGTATCCATGTTTACTTTTCCATCTGATTCAGATTGTTATTTTATAGTTAAATTTTTAACGTATTTTAAAAGATGAAAAGAAATTACATACTTCCTGAACTATATCGAAAACAAAACACAATTATATTTGTATCTGTATAATTTCTGCTTAGTTAATAATTAAATTTAGTATGGACATCATTAGATATAAAAAAAGCTCACGAGTTTTGTTTATAAGTACATTTTGCTTCCATTTTTCATATTTGCTTTATTTCCATAAACCTAACCACGCATGTCTTCAAAGTTCAAAGTTAATCAGATGCAAAACATTTTCAACAAATACAAAAGTTACAATTAAGTTTCTCGGTCTTATAGTCATTTTCTAAGCGTTGACTTTCCATTTTCCATTTTTCTCTATAATAATTTATATCTATTTTTTAACAAGTTCCGTTCAAACTAAATCACTTCACAATTTTTCATCAATAGTGCCCAATAATTTAAACTTTCGTAGGTTTGCGCTTACGGTATTGAACACTAGATAATTTCTTTTTCGATTCCATATTAACTTCGATCGAAGAACAATTTAATAAGTTCATTAAATAATAAGCAGTACAATAATTTACTAATTTGCATGAGTAATTCATTGTTTCTACAGATATCACATTGCAAACTGAATATGCTTTCTGTGTCTACGTATCCATAGTTAAGTTAGATTGTTTATTATAATCTATTAAGTATTCTAGATTTTATAATAAAAAAAATACGAATAATGCATTATAAATTTCATTTCCGAATCTCGTTTTGGCGCCCCCTAAAGGCGTGCGCCCGCATTTTTTGCATGCATCGCATGCAAGGCAGGACCGGCCCTGATTATAAATATTAGACAATAATACAATATTTATAATAATCTATTTGAAAACATTCAATATTCCTCGAACGTTTCGTTACGGTACGGGAAGTTCCAGCAATTTGCCTTAAGGCACGATGCCATCCACCCCACTAGTTTATTATTACTTCGCTCTAGAAAGGAAGAGTTTATGTATTTCAAGTTATTGCTACGAATTATGCGATTTATAAATTTGTATAAATTTATAAATTATATTTATATGAAGTAAGTAAAATTATTTTAGAGAAATATTTTAGAACATGAAAAATATATAAACACGATAAAAATCGAATAATGGTAGCGAATTAATATCAATGCTAGTTTACCTTATTTTATATTTTTAGTTTCATACATAAGTTTATATTAAATATATATATTTTAGTTACTACTTATTGGCATAATTTTAATTTGAACCATTTTTATGCCATTGTACTGAAAAAGGCTTATATTGTAAATTAAAATGTATTCAGGGCTTTCTTAAAAAAAATTATTTTTCTGTTTATTGGACAAATGCTTAAATAATTCTTATTATATATATGTCTGTGTATAATGATGTATTTACATTTATATTTTATAAACAAAAATAGTAATAAAATATTATTGCATTAAGACGTACATTAGAAGTCGATATCATGATAAATGGACAATTTGAAAAAGTTATGACGTTAGCCATCAATATAATATATTTATTATGATAAACTTACATACGCCGAACTGTCAGAATAATGATTGATCAATGTGGCTGCTGGGCTTTTGTGCAAGACTCAATAAAATTGAAAAAAAAAATGACTAGGGATCTAACACCTATCAAAACTAAATGTACATGGTATAAAAATAGTATTAGAATATTTATATAATACTATTTTTATAATTACTATTTTATAATTAATCGATTTGAATGCATGAGCCAAAAAGTCAAGAAATATTACACACAAAAATCTGCAATATAACAGTTCGTGGGAAAAGTGGAATTAAAGAAAAATAATTAGATAAAAGTCGTTAGATAGCATCATAAGAATCTTTTTATTTAAATGTAATGTAATGTTTTGTATCTAAATACTTTTTTTAATAAAAACTTTATGATGATTAAAAAATACCGACAAAATTATATGAAAGCATATAAATCAGATTATTATGAAGAAGTGTCGACAAACAGGTCATCTTAATATTCCTTATAAGATTTAATGACTACATTTTGCATTTCAATATGCCAAGTAGTTAACTATATAGTATTATTTCATTGAATTGTAAATTAGGGAATTTTTGAATATCTATAAGAAAGAGTCCTATAAAATAATTGGGCTCATTTGACTTATTACTACGTCGATTACGTCGATTTTAAATATGGCAACCCAAATAGTTCTCCATGTGATGAATTTTGTTATTACAATTTCTGTAATAGGGCAAATATTTGATTGATGCAGCAATGCCGGATGAGTGCTATTTTCACTTGAAAACAATCATATCTATATTTCCAAGTGAAAATCTATGTCACTACTGCAGATACATCGAAGCGGAATGAATAGACTTCTAAAATTCAATTTAATTTTAATGTTTACTATACTTTCAGAATTAATTATTTTGTTTACAACACTTATTTTGTAGTAATATTTATTTATTGCAATGCGCAGCGACCTAGAATTTTGCGCAACAGCATTAGATATTTAATGAATGCGCAAACTTTAATGGATCATTTTGCAAAGTTTTCAAGTTATGGGAGCTCACACGTATAATTTTACCTGGTAACTTTATATATATATATATATATATATATATATATATATATATTATATGTAAATAATACTACACTATACCGATTCGAATTATCGGAGGGCCAACCAGTTGTTTTGAAATGGAAAGTCAGATAAAGGCAATGATATATATTATTATATACATATATGAAATATTATATGAGAACAAACGGCCTATGCGTAGATGTGAGTACATACATGATATTTTTCATTGACAGATACCTAATCGCCAAAGAATGCATGGAAGTCATTAATCTAAATAAAAGAATATTGTTTATGTATGCACATAAATTAGCACTGAATTTCAATGCAAAAAGTAGTTGTGTTATATATTTTAATATATAAAAAAACTATTTCTTGATGTTTAATTTTTTGCAAGTTTATTATATTATTAAATAGTTATTTTAAAAAAATATTTATTGGAAGATCATTAATTAATTCATAATTAAACCCAATTTTCAGTGAAACATATCATACTCTTTTAGTTATTTTAGTAAATTAGAAATTGAATGTTGCTTATGGAACATATTTTTTTAAACAAATTTAACATGAATTTTTTGTGAAATCTTTCTTTTTGTATAGAATTTTCCTTATTTCCTTTCCTTTTTGTTTCGTATTTTGTCTTATATTCGTTAAGCTAGATTTTTTTATTTGTTTAATCTTGGCTCGAAAAGAACAAATAATGCATGTCACAACCGTACCCACAAAGTTTGTCAAAATTTTGTCAAAGCCCAACGCACACTTTTGAAAACAAATCATCATTATGACTGAACTTAAATATCTAATTGTAAGCAAAAACTAATTGCTGGTGAATACTTACTAATGTTCAACTTAGAGCAAAAAAACAAAGTGATCTACCTGTATATAATTAACAATTATTATTAAAATAATTCGAAGATCAAAACTTACTTTTGACTTTTTAAAAGCAATGTGGTCCACAGAATATCTTAATGCAAGACTTTGACTCAATGCAATAATGGAAACTTGTTCCAATAATCATACTTTATCTTTCTCCTTCTAGACGCTACCTCAAAATCAGTATATAGTCCAGTCATTTAAGCTTAAATTAGGTAAGAATTTCTGAAATCAGGATACCCAGCTGTAAGTCTGTAAATACTTGTATATTGACACCCTAAAAGTTGTCCTAAAACCTACATATGGTAGGGTGTATAAACCATATGTAGGTTTTGAGACAACTGTTTACAGACTTACAGCTTGGTATCTCGAATTCCGAGGTGAACTTACTATAATGACTGGACTAATAGATTAGCTGTTATGACGTCTATTACTACCGTACCCTGGCACAACCGTACCCAGATTTCCCTACATTTACACTAATCCAAATCTCTAGTTAGCAATAATTTTATTATTACAATAAACAATAAATTCCTGCTACAGTATCAATTTGATAATAAATACTTTCATCTCTATTTCTAATTCTCAGAAACATCTTACTTCTTAAATTAAGTTCAAGTATGCGAACTAATTCTTCGTGATCGTTATGCAAATCTAAAGTTCAATACCGTGAGAAATAATAATATGAAGATATCATCTTAACGATGTATACGTATTATTAATTTATTGTAATCTCGGCGAACAAAATTAAATTAAGCTTGGAATATGACACCTTGAATAGCGCAAAAACATTGATCACGTTTTTTCTTCCATGTTCATAGAATCCGATAACGATCTCGTATCTGATGTGTCTGTCCAAATAAAAAACGTTTACGTGAGATATTTTATCAGCATCAACGAATACTATTTTTTTGATTGCAAGTTCGTCATGGATTGAAATTAATAGAAAAAATGTACTATTGCCTGCGGCATGCTGATCATTGATCGATTAGTAATTAATGGGTTAATAATGTGTAAATTAATAGATTATTATACTATGGATAATTCCAGTTAATTATTAATTAGAAACTGAATTTTATTTGCACACATTATTTTTAAACTTAAGTTTATTTCACAAACTGGTATATATCATAATGCAATGTTTCAATTATTAATTGCTTGATATATCTAACCGTTGTGTAGTAGTGTAGTGTAAGTGTATTTTGTCTTCGATTCAATGTCTTTTGTATTCGACGTCGAGCAAAAAGTATATTTTTCCATTATTACTAAATACATATTTATATATACAGTATGTAATCTCAATCAGACACATTGTCAGAATAAATAAAGGTTTATAATATCAATAAATCGAAAAGTTTATCAATAAAAATTATGATGGATTCAATAAGTATGCGATTTTTAATTAATTCAGCTTTACATTCATTTACTTGAATTAATCAACGGACAAATAACACACATTTCTCCAAAAGCCTTCTTAGCTTCAACGACATAATAGAAATGATTTAAAATTTGGACCAAAAGTTCAAAAAGAGTAATCACACTGCAATTATAAATGATTATAATATATATGAATCTTTTAATTCAGATCACTTTTTATCTTAAATGAAATATATTATTTAATCAAAATCTTATAATTTTACTTGTAATTATATTGTAGATTATATTTTACGCATTTAATTGAACTTTCAAGAAATTTGTAAATTTTAAAATTTCATGTGATATAATTTAAATAAAAATTTTAATAATCACTTTACTATGATGAAATAAAGTAATAAATAGATAAGACATTCTTTAAATTTTCCATTTGATTCATTTTTTAATATGTTTGATTTCGCAACGTTATACATCATTTTAGTGGGCATCTGGTTAGTAATTTAAGATTTCACTTTACTTTTCTGTACATATATTAGGGCGGGTCGATTTTAAAGTCACATATGATTTTCCGATACTAAGGATCAAAATAAGATACTTTGCTGAAGAAACGATACCTCTAAAATGAATTCTGATGTCCCGTGCATTGACCCAAAAATAGGAGTAAAATTTTGAAAAATTTCGTTCTGACTCATTTAGAGATCTCCAATCGCGCCCAAGTGTATGACAAACTCCAACTAACTTTAGATGGCTGATCCATGCATATAGTTCACCCCGTGGAACCTCCCCTTAAAGGTTCTTCATAAAAAAAATTGCAAAAAATCATCGTTATTGGTATTGTACTCAGCAAAAAATGTTTTTTTTAAACCATTTTTTGCAGATATTAATTCATCACACACAAAAAACTTTCTCACAAAAATATTCATTAAAATTTTTTGTTTTAATTTTTCCAATGCACTTTGACTTTGCGTTTCTATGCTAGCTAGAAGCTTGAAACCAAAAAAGACTTCTAACAATGATTTATAAGTTTTACATATGTTATGATAAATAAATCGCTGATTTTTGTCATGTTAAAGTACCAAAAATGATGCAACTTTTGTATGGGGAACCTCAAAAGGAAGGTCTCAGGGGGGTGAACCATGGGCATGGGTAGATCGGCTTTCATCGGTCATACATTTGGACACTATTGGGGAGCTCTAAATGAACCAAAAACTTTGGGTAAATGCACGGAGCATCAGAATTCATTTTAAATGATATGGTTTCTTTGGCAAAGTATCTTATTTTGATCCCTAGTATACAAAAATCATATGTGCCTATGCGACTTTTTTACCCATACAAATTGACCCACCCTAATATATAATATACATAGACATAATAAGTATAATTTTTTACTTACGATATAATAGAGGCAATGATGACGTATAACCAGGCGATGACAGCTGTATCACCTGTAAGCATATTGGGTTGACTGACGGCTGTCACCATGCCGACAAGAAGCGGATTGTACCCGGCTAATCCATTTGACAAAACGCTGCCTGGTTGACGGATCAACTAAAAAGTCAAACATTAAAAACCTTCAAGAGCAATTAGGGCAAAGGAATATATTTTTTAAGAGAGGATCAAGTAATATAATTAGAAAAATGAATGGATTTGGAAATGAGGTACCATCATTTTACGAGTACTTATTCTAATATTATATAATAACAAAGTACCAATTTTGTCTTAATTGGTCTGAAGTTCTTCTACTACGACACTACTTGATCTCAGTCATCATAGTAAGTTTACCTCGGAATTCCAGATACCCAGCTGTAAGTCTGTAAATACCGTATATTGATACCCTGAAAGTTGTCTCAAAATCTACATATGGTAAGGTGTACGCATATGTAATACATATGGTTTTAGAATGTCAATATACAGTATTTACAGACTTGCAGTTGAGTATCTCGAATTTTGAGATTCTTGCCTAATTTAATCTTAAATCACTGAACGATCAGGCATTTATTTGAGGTCTATCTTGATACTGTGTATAAATCTTGGTACAGTGGCTAGTATAGCCACTCTATTCTTATTTCCATTCAACGATTACAAAATAATACAGGACATTTATATACCTTGGTATTAATGCATTGATCATTATAATTATCATATTGTAATAACAACTGCAAATTTAAGTACAATTTATTAATTTGATTCAGTTAAAAGCATAAGAGACGAAATATCGCACCTTGAACTCGCAGTAAATCGTTCAAAGAACACGTTTTACATATGTATCTTGCGGCTATATAGTTGTTCAACAATGAAAAAAAATACCAGAATTCAACCACCCTTAAGCATTCCACTAGATATCACATGTGCATATATATTTTTAGAATCTTCAAAAGAATGAATGATTTTTCAACGTGATATTTCTTGTATCGGAACTTTATTTAGCTGACCATTGAATTAAAGTAACTATTTTTTATGTCTATTTCTGTAACACCATAATAACGCTTTCCACTCGCATGCCGAGAGTTTCGAAAATTCATACTAATTCTGCAATTCGCGAGTGAAAACGGTTAAATATTTTAAATGCATAAACTGCTTCAATAGATTTTTTATTTTTAAAATGAATCTATTACGTATTAGATTTATAAGGCGCTTCAAAATATTCTTGGACAACTATGCTAGTAGAAGATATTCAATATTCAGAAATGCATCTATCTCCAGCTTAAATATTAATTAGAGAAGTTCATGGATGCTTGAACAAATTATCGATTAGGTAAGACTTATAGTATTTATGATGCGGAGAACTCGGGGCATGTAATTACATTGGCATAATTTAATATAGTGAAATGATAAATTCAGCGCTATATCAGATTATATCCAAATAAATGGAGAATTAACTCCCTGTAAAAAATAAACTAACTATAGTCGTGAAAAGTCGTCTTATATATTATATACACTTATATAGTCTTCGGGAGTAAAATAGAAGGTCTAAAAGAATTAGGGACAAAAAGAATGCAGATAATTTCTGAATACAGGGAACTGAAAACCGAAGCAAAATCTCAGGAAGAATGGAAACAGCAGTTTTGAAAAAAAAAGCATAAATGTGAATAAAAGTGATATAATGACAATAAAAGGATAACAAAATAATAAACACAGGAGGAAACAGAAATCATTGATTTAAGGTGTTCTCAAACCATGGACCTGCCTTTAGACAGACTATCATCAATTATTAGACCTTGAAAGTATTTACCAGATTGACCGTTTGCTAGATTAAATCCCTTAAATTTATTATGCTAACATTTTTCATAAATCAAAGACGATTAATCTTAAATATAAACTATAAAGAGCATAAAACTAAAAATTTATTAATTACTTACATATGCAGTAAAGATTCCGATAGAGCAAGTTATGGTCGATGTGAAGGCTCCAAGTGGATGAGCGAATAATAAAGCTATGTACATAATTACACCACTTAATGTATTGTTGCACAACATCACCTGTAAACAATACATAAAAAAAAGTTGAAAACAATTATATATAAGAACTATATGAAATAATATTCCAATATTATAAAGATTACTTTGATATCACTGTTGCTGAATCAAATTGCTATCTTAAACAACATACATCTGCAATTTGTAATGCTGAAATAATCGTACCCCATGTATTTCCTGGTTTCTTATAGAACTATATCATGTTAAATATACAAATTTATAGTAGAACTTACTACAATATAGTTCATAATGTGATTATGAAAAAAAAATGAAATATCAATAAGCTTATATATCGATTAATTAGATAAGTCGCTCCAAAAGTTGCTAACATTCAAAACAGTTGATATTTTTATACAAAATAGAAAAAAATGGATTACTACTTAAATAATGTAATTTTATGAAATTAATTTTCAATCTAATATTCTGAAACTTCCTACCTAGCCTATTAGAATCTTCAGTCAGCCTGACTATGCCTGAATAACTTATTTCTGATCAATATATTTCACTAGGTTTATCACTTTATCTATGGTTATCTTTATATTTTGATATATAAGTTACAATTCGTCTATTATATTAAACATTTATTAATTATTGTTTTTGATTGGAGAGCAACCCAATAAGTTTCATTTCTAGTTGTGATAATAACTTAATTAATTTTTGATTAATTAAGTATGATTAAGTATTTTTAATTTGATTAATTTTATGGAGCAAATCGTGAAAGGGCTACTATATTTTACACCATTTTCAACCTGTATTTCCAATTTGCAATTGATAATAGTGCTGCTTGATGTCAGGTTTTCCGAGACGGGAATTGATACTGCAAGGTTATGGTAGCAAGACCAAAGCTCTTACAACTACTGCCACGAACACTCCATATTTCACAACGTAAATACAGTTTCAATAGATCAATATATTCAATGGGATCAGCATTGATATGCATCACAAATGCAATTATTCATAAGTACGAATAACAAGTATATATATGCAAGGCTTTTGTAACTATTAATACATAAATAATAGTCAGTATGTAAACTTAACAACAACTGGTAAGTGCCCTAAACAAAATTAATTTCTACAATATTTTCATGAAAATAACTAAACTCAGAAATATGTACAAAATTACCTCCTTCATTCAAAGTTTCTCAGAATATATTGCATTCCTAGAGGAGAAACACTCTTTTTGAGTAAAGCACTTCAAAGTTGCTGAGCTTTAAAGCCCTACCGCTCTATTTTTGTTTTATTTCAAGAAAACCATCAAGAACTGATCGTATAATCGAATATAATCGTTTTATTTGAAATCTCTTACTCGATCCTTAAAGAGTGATCTATTACAAACTTTAATCAATTAGTTGAACCCGCATCGTCCGTTGCCCTTAACTTGCGGGTAAATGATTTTCAAGCTGTAGATAAAGTTCTCGACTAACTCTTATACCACATAAGTATTTAATCTTCTTACATTTTCTGCCAACTAAACTTTAGAAGAGATTAATGCATTTATTCTGCCCTTGAACAACGCTAATCGCATTTTATTCGCTGAGGATTTTATGTGCAGGATGAAAATGTTGAGAGAAGATTTTTATCATTTAGGCAAAGCAGTTTGTATAACAAAATCTTATTTGATAATGTGAGTTTTGCTTAATCTTTTGATTGCGATTTACAATGATTTTATCCCTTGTTAATTATCTTGGCTTCATAAATAATATTACCAAATTTGCAATTTCATAAAAATACATAATTATCTATTGCATTAATTTTTAACTTCATTATTCAATTTACCGAAAAAAAGATTTTGAAGATATATAAACTACACATTTAATTACATCATTTGTAATTTTACCTTCTGTAAATGTGGCGATTTATATAAAATACATATTATAAATTTTATTAATCATGCAACTAGAAAGTAGATTTTAACTACTTATTTTGTTTAATTTAAAAAAAAAAACTTTAATGATATTCATATAAGCTACAAATTTAATAAACCAATAATTGAATAAATAATTAATTCTTAATCGATAATTTAAATTATCGTGTCATTAACATAATATTACGCCGCTAACATGTGACTAAACTTGTTTGAAATGTGAAATATTTAATTTAACTATTATACACCAATATTGATTAAATTAAATGAATTCACCTGACTGTAAGACCTGAAAAACGCGTCTAAAAACTTTGGGGCCAACCAAGCTGATTTAGTCTTCTTGTCGGCAAGATAATTTGAAACAGCCGGACAATCCCCAGTAAATGATCTAATGATCTGGTACGTTCCCTGAAAATAGAAAAAAACTAGGCGTTAGTGGAATTCAGCCTTAAGGTAAGTTGCATAGACTTTCCATTATGCAATATGTACATAGTGGTGTTAATCATTAAGAAATCAATATAATTTAAGTGGTTTATAATTATATTAAATTACTGTAGGACCTGACATATAAGAAACTGCAGTTTATGCAATAAAATAGCATGATGGTTGTTTTTGATAAATAATTCAAATATTACACATTAATGCACTGAAAACGAAAACTCGCTTAAGACATACACCTGTACTAAAAGTGGCTATTCCGATCTTTAATAATTTTTTATATTTAAACTATTTTTCGAAAGGATATAATATTTTAGCAAAATCTGATTAAAGTCGTCAGAAACATTTTTTCCTAAATATTATAGAAAAATGATAGAATCTTTACCAAAATCTAATCCACACGATTCCCATGTTAAATCTTTCGGATAACTTATAAACACTTACGTCTGCCAAAAGTATAGCCCTCATCTTATATATTATAAAGTAATAGCTCGTCCAATTGTGGCATAAAACCAATAGCGTAATCTTTCTTTCACTCTATCTGTCTACCTGCCTATTTTTGTATTTTTTATATGCTTACCTATTTACCTATTTGCCTATCTACTTGATTTTTTTGTCTAACTAATAATTCTATTTGCATATGAATTAATAATAATGATTTGTGATGATCATTTCAGATCACCAAATGGCAACTTTTAAACTTTTTTTAAATATCCATAACTGCTGGACATCTGCCTTTGCAGAAATGTGATCTCTTCATTTCATCGAAACACTCATATACACATACCTAATTCAATCTTGGTTTCAAACGATTTAGAATGACATGTAATTCGAGGAGTTAAAAACTGGTAAAATATTAATTAAAATACTGATTAATAATAGAAGAACATAATTACTTCTCCTTCGGTAAATTACACAAATTTTATATATAAAACCAACAATCAATGACAAATAAAGAAAAGAAAATTTATTTAATGTTTCAACACGAAGGATGATACCAAAATAAGAAAAACTAGACATTGAATATGGAAAATATTTTTCTCAAATTTTCCATTCATTATTATCATGAAATAGTAGTATACTTACAAGCTATTCTGTAAATAAATACTTTATAGCTCAATGATTTATGTCATCGTGAGATGACTTTGAAATGTCGCCATTGTTTGCATCTTATCTTTTGTCCTTACTTCCGTTATTTGCAAAGGTCTCTGCGATTTTTTATTTCGAAAAAGTCCGTACTTACAAGAACCTTGATATTTGATCAGAGAGAATGAGTAGGTCTGATTGTGAGAATCCCATATCAGAAAGGTCATGATTACTATGCTCGGAAGTAAGTAGACATTTCAAGAGAAAATTAAGATGATTGCATTGCCCTTGGAAAGTATACGCTTTTGGCGTATAAGTAAAAAAAGCTATTTAGGTAATGTATCTCGAATGACGTCTTCATTTTTTTATATAACTGGCTCGTTAAATAGAATGTCCGGCCCTAGATGCCGTCCGGCGTTACGAGACTTCGCCTTACATAAAACCTTCAAGAAGTATAGCCACAAAAGTGCGAAATCGATGATATTTTAGAAAATATCTCAATCTCCCCCCTGGAATTGAAACCCCAATAAAATATTATCAGTATGAGTTTTTAATGATAATTTCATCAAGTAAATGTATGACAATCGTTGGGTTGTCACCTATGAAGCTATGAGAAGTCATGACTATAGTTGAATATAATATCAAATCGTATCAAATAATTTAATAGCGTATGAAAATCGTTATTAATAAAAGACGTATGGCAAAAACATCGATGCAAACATATCACGAGAGCACGTGGCTAACAGCCCAGGAACGTAATGTCTCTAAGCAAACATAAATGTGTACAGCAGTTATTCACATAAATTTATATTCATTGTGAATGACTTAATTGGCTGTGCAAATCAAAAAATAAGTACTTCCGCATGAAATGTCACCGCAAATATTTACGAAACGTTTCAAATCGCACTAATTGGGAATATATTAAGACGAGGTGTTATCAAACATTAGGAATTTTTATCCTAACAAAAATGATAAGCGATAATACAGCATAATTATTCAACGTGATCGCATACAATGTTGATTGCAAAAATTATGTACACGGGATTGGAAAAATATTTGTGAAATCTGCATATTTCGATTTTTATTTTTCGTGGAAAACTTGGTTGTCAATAAGTGAGTTCAAGTCAACAACAGGTTGACAGTATTATGAAATATTAAAACATAATATGGCATAAATATTAAATAGAATTCTTCTGCATTAACTTGTTTTTATGTGCAGTTTTAATAAAGAGTTAATTAATTAATAATTATCGAAAAAATCTATTAATTACATAACATTGTAATGTTTAATTCGCAATTTATTATCTATTATTACGATGTCTTTTGATACTCAGTTAACAATCATTATTAATCATTTATCACAATTATTATTTTATTAATGAACCGTGATATAATATTTACAATTAATCACATCACTTTAAAAATAAAAGTATTTTTTTAATATTATTTATTTGATTTTAAATATTTTGTTTACTAAATAGTAGTTACAAATACCATCAAAAATGCTAGTGCAAATGCGTCACCGAACGTGCGGAGATAAACTTTTCCATCTGCATACAAAACTGATCTTATGCATCAGCATCTTTTGCTGCATTTTTATCTTTTGCAACTGCGTTTTGCATTTTTTTAAATTTATTATTACTGCTAGATTAATATTTAATTATAAAAAGTTATTTGGGCGATATGTACTGACAATCAATACCAATCAAATTTAATAACAATATATACAGCCATACAGTTAATTTGGAAATAAGTGTAAAAAGTAGAAATTTAAATACTCAAACCTTTTAACGGATATTGATTGATCGTATGTAATGATAAGGTAGGACACAAGGATCCAATTTGACTTTAAGTAATTGTACGAAACCAAATGAACTATAATACATCATCAAACAAACGAATGAAAAAAATCGTACTATTTGCAGTGCAATTCCCAGTTAATTCCTACTTATAAAAATATATTTTCTAACTGGTTTTCTAAAATTTTTCCTTTGTCCCTCAATATCCCATAGGCGAGGTAAAATGGGGCAGCCAGGAGGCAAACAGATCCAATGCCAAGTGGCAAGTTATGGAAAAAATTCAATAAAATTTTAGAGGGAGTTTTAAGAAATAATAACAACAATATTCAAACAATGCAGAATATCAATTTTCTGGGCACATTTTTGATAAAGATAAGACTGCGTATGAGCAGAGTTGGATTAACTCTATGAATTTAATCTGTTTCTTGTAAAATGGCACTTTTTAAACTAAATTTGCATTAATTTCTATTATTTACTTGGTTATATAAAATTATCTGTTGATTCTAACTTAAAATTAATAACACATCTTATAAAACAACTAAATAACGTACACTTAAAAATTATATCAAGGTTTTGTAAACTGAACAACCGTTCACACAACCAAAAAAATTAAAAAAAAAAACAAATATTTTTGTTTCTGTTAATTTATATGTAAAATAATATAACATATCCACATTCGTATTCGCATGATGTTCTAGAATAGACTTTTTATCATAGTAGATCTTAATTTGAATTAATTATACTTATTGTTCGTAACAACAAATTACGTAATAAAGAATACTTAAGAATGTCACGTCCACACGTGCTTCTATTTAAAATAATAGTAATAATAATTTTTTTGAATAAATATACAAATGTCTTAAAGACAACAAAAGATTATAAGAAAATTTATGAAATTGAAAAATTGCACCAAATAGAGTTTTTGTATTAATCAGCAAGTAAAAAATCAGAAATACCGAAGTTTTTATTTACTTTGAATCTTTCAATACTGCTATTAGGTGTTATTTTACTGCAAAGATGATATGTCCAAAGCTTACAGACACAAACACATTTTGAATGAAACAGTGACAAGATAGTTACGATTTATTGGACTTTTTTTAATTCCAAAGTTTATGAAATAAAGCTTATTATATAAGAAAACCGCTCAAAAAATGGGATTTCACATTACGTACAGACTGAAATATGTTTAAAAAAATGAATTAATTTTCTTAACAGTAAATGGCAAAACGAGGTTTGGTTTATGAAATATTGAAATAATATGCAAATAGATGAATAAATCAATTGGTTTAAAATAGATTTTTAGAAACGGATAAAATATGAATTGAACGCAATACAGTATTAACGATGACATGACAAAATATTTGGCAATCGAAATTCGAAAAGAATAAATTAAAAATAAATTTAAAAAACTAAATTTGCATGATTTTAAGAATTTGACTTAATTGGTTAAACGATATTTAAGAAAATATGGTCTATTATTAAAATTTTTCCACTCAAGTTAAAGGAATTTTTTCCAAGTTGTGTAATGAAATAAATAACCTGCAATAATTTACTGAAGATTATCTTGTGTTTGTTTTAGAAGATTGTCAATACAGTGGCAACTGTCAATATTTGCATGAACAAATGAAGACATATCATATAACAAATTGTTTTTAAAAACCTTAATTGTTACTTTACTTATAATGACAGATTGTTCTTATTAAAAATTGCATTTTTCTATTCAATTTCAGAATAGACACGCGTTGTCTCTAATGTTGTCTTTAGTATAGTTAGTATATTTACTGAATTTAAAGCAGACTGATCTTTACTTGATTATTTTAAAAATTCAGATATTTTTGATTGAAAATAATCTTTTTTTTTAATTTATAACTATGTTAAGAAAATCACGTGAAACAGATATGCAATCACGATTGTTAAGTTTCTGGATTCATTCGAAATCCTATTAATAATCAACATGATAATAATGTTCTCAAATTTTGTTACAAATCGAGAGTATCACAAATATTATTATTTTCTGATATTGGTAGAATACTATTTACAAAAAACAACAGAACCTTATAATAGAAACATGGTTCTACTATTATTCCCAAGTACATATTTATAGTATTACCAATTAATATATAACAATAGATGATAAATTTAATGACACTATAAGTCAATAATAAAATTTAGGTAAAATAATATATTCATATCAATTTCAAAATTAATAGGTATTTAAAATTGCATAGCAAGATAGAAAGTACTTTCATTGCAAATTTAGTAATATAATATTGTATGTGTTATTATATTGTTTGTGTTCCGTTAAACACATTTTGCAGATCTATCATTAATATTTTCTACGTTTTTGATCTTAATAGTTTTAGCAATTTGTAAATACAAAAAGTAAAAATAGTAACCCTTTGCACTCCAATGCCGCCACTCCGGCCGCAAAGTACGTGTTAAGTCTGGAATTCGCGAGGGGGAAGGATTAAAACAAAATATGTCAAAAACAATAAATGATGTCAATGCTATTAATGAATTCGAACAGAAAACTGTAAATGACTATAGAAGACTTCATCAACACTGTAAAGGCAAACGATAGATGAGATACTATATTTTAATGCAAAATTCAAGATTAAGACTGATATACATTTTTTTTGTCAATCAAAACTTTATTATACAAATATGAATTAGAAATAAGAACTCCATAAACTCCAAAATCTTTCTGAATAATGGTTCTTACACTCAGCTCATATAACCAATGTTGGTCGAAGTAAAAATTAGAAGGTTCACTATTCTGAATAATATCGACTCAAAAACTTTTGAATCAGAGTCAAAAGTAGGTTGATAAAAGTGTGGATCTGTCTCTTAGAACTGCATTATTATATACAAAATATATTTATAAAGTATTAATTAGATGCCATCTCGATAAAATTATCAGAATTTTACAGTTGTAAGAGTTATGTATTATAATAGATATATTCTTCTTAACAATATCGCTTTTTAGAAGGAAAGACCAAAACTTGTCTATAATAAGTTAGGAGGACTAAGGGAAGGCAAAAGTTGTTTTCTTCGTAATGAATAAGTAATTAGAGGTAAATAATGAACAAATATTTAAGTACTTTTGACAAAATTTCAACATTTAATATCACACACCCGATTATGTATATATAAAGTAAATTATTTAATTACTTTTGTGCTAAATACTTTAAAATACTAGTATTGTAGTATTTTATATTTGAAATCTCAACATTTGCCAATATTTTAATTTTAATTTATGAGATGGTGGCGAGCATAGTTCACTGTCAATGTCACAGTCAATGTATCGTAGTAGACAGAGATCTTTGGATCGAATCCTGTCAATGTCACAGTCAAGGACAGGGATCTTTGGATCTAATCCTGTCAATGTAACAGTCAATGACAGGGATCTTTGGATCAAATCGTGTCAATGTAACAGTCAATGACAGGGATCTTTGAATCAAATCCTGTCAATGTCACAGTCAATGACAGGGATCTTTGGATCAAATCCTGTCAATGTCACAGTTAATAACAGGGATCTTTGGATCAAATCCTGTCAATGTAACAGTCAATGACAGGGATCTTTGGATCAAATCCTGTCAATGACAGGGATCTTTGGATCAAATCCTGTCAATGTCACAGTCAATGACAGGGATCTTTGGATCAAATCCTGTCAATGTCACAGTCAATGACAGAGAATTCTGGATCAAATCCTGTCAAGGTCACAGGTCATAGAATTTATGACTTAGAATTTATGAAAAAAATTTATGTAGTTAATTTAAAATTAAAGAAAAATAGGAATTACAGAATTCGAATAGCTGAATTGTATTAGGAGTGAGAAGAAAAAATATTAGAACCTGCTGAGATTAAAAAGAAGAATGAAGAAAAAAATGGGATGAAAATAAAAGTTGAATAAAATTAGAAATTTGATATGAAAGAGCAAAAATTTAAAAAATAAGAAGAAGAAAAATTAAGACGAATATAGAATAGGATATAGATTGAATATGATTTAAAAATAAGTATAGATTGTAAATAAATAAAAATGATGTAGGTGGCAAAATGGCTTGATAAAAGTTGGTTGATTTGATTACCGCTTACTTTATACTACATATTTAATTGTCAATTATATCTAATGCATTTTTATGAATAACTCATATTGATAAGTTCAATCAAACATTTTTATCTTTTTATATCTCGAACAGGTACAACAAACAATTTTGCCTTTGAAGATTTTTTATCACACAGATTACTCTAATTACTTGTTATTGATTTGTATCTTTATTATTTTCAAACTTTATTGATTCAAATTGATAATCATCAAAGAATTTAAGCGGTATTTTTTTAAATCAATAAAAATCCTTGGTTTGGTTGCTTAGTCTCAAAGTTACCTCGACGATATCTTACTCTGATTTCTAAGTATCGTATAACATTATTTGTAAACATGGCTGCAGAAGATAAAAAAAATGCTGACGAAATAGAAAAATCTTACACTTTTTTCATTTTTATCGATATACATATAAATATATAAACCATATATTACATGCATATTGCATATACATTCATAAATACATGCATATCTATATGCAAATACACGAAACGAAAAAAACGAATATATGACACTAAATAGTGATGCTGTACAGATGCATCAAACATAATTCAAATGTATAACCACACAATTTGAACTTATCAACAAACAAATATAATGATTCTCAAATTTTGTTATTGTGCTCTAAATAAAAGTTGTTTAACATAAGTCTAGACAATAGAAAACAATATCAAATATGATTTTCATTTTACTGATGCACTAAATATTATTGAGAATCATTAGCAATTAATAATAATGTAATTAGAGATACTTTCAAATAAATAAAAATTATCATTATAAAAATATGTAAAATAAGGACTTACAGTTTTATGCTTCTTGTGTGATCCTGCCATGTTTGATACCACAAAACTTTTTGACACAACTTTTATTAATTAATCACTTTATTTAATTTATTTCACTGAAAATGTAAATAATTATTATTAGTTACACAATACTGAATAATTGTATCAATAACAAATCTAGTTGATTTTTTAGTAATGTTAAAAGAAATATTTTAATAGCAAAATAAATACTTATTTGGTAAAATTCAGTAAAACTATTTTATGGATTCTGAGGTATGTATGCATTTAAATTTTGCATGCATTTTAATGCATGTGATTGATCTATTCAATTTTCATTTGATTTATTTTGAATTTGCGTATAAATGATTTTTATATTAATTTGAAAAAAAAAATGTAGATCAATCTGTGTTGTAAATGCATTTAAAATATGCATTTTTACCTCAGAATCTATAAAGTAGTTTAATTACTCTTTTTACTAAATTAGTTTTTATTTTCTAATTAAATGATTTAATCTGATAAACTCTTTTGTAAGAAATAATATTAGAAAATACAAGTCGCAAAATAAGTTTTATATAAGCATTTAGTATATTATTGTATAAAACAATAATTGGTATTTGCTACTTTCACTTGACATTATGGGACTACATATATTAATGGCAGTTACAGGTTCAATAATATTCAAAAGGTAATTATAAAATGAAGAAAATTAATAAAATTTTATTGTTGTTATTTTTAAATTACTAACTAACTTACTAGTTAGTAATTTAAAAATTTAGTGGCAGAAACTTTCAAAGTATCTAAATTTATGGTAATGAATATTTGAACAGCTATTTTAGGCTGGCATCGAAATTTTATCAAGTCTGAAACATATTTCAGATAGTACGAAACACATTAACTTGTGCTAAAAATATAGTATAATATAAATAATTGCTTAAAAAAATTATTAACGGAGCATCGACTTATTCTTATATCGTTAGACTTTCATACGAGAAAAACATCATTAACAAAAACACGAAATTTTTAATAACAAAAAAACATCAGAAATACTCGATTATTGTGTAGTTTTCGAAACTAAAACAGCTTTGCAAAAGAAGATGATCTTAAATAAAATTTTGAGACACAGAAAATGTTCGTGTGTTTTTCCTAAATCCAAAAAAACTTATAATTTTACTGTAATAAACACAATTATTAATTTGAATAAAATAGTTTCTAAAAAATAATATATTTTATCTGTAATGTATCTATTTCACGGAAATGGAATTAGAAATATCAATTTAGGAATTTATAAATTTCAGTCATAAACATCTCAATAACGAAAAGTATTCCAAAATAATCTTTAATATAAAATTCTTTAAATATTAATTGAGCAAAAAATTACACACAAATCACATCGCTCACTGTTTATTAGGATTATGAATTAATAGCATATGAATATGTGTCTATAGTAACCCAATATTGTCCATAAATTCGACAATAATTTTACTATAATGAATATAATAATTAATTTAAATCAAATCGTTTTTAAATAATGTATTTTATGTAGTATGCATATATTTTACGAAAATGAAATTTAGAGTTTCAATTTAGGAATTTAGAAATTTTAGTCATAAACATCTCAATAGCGCAAAGTATTCCAAAATAATCTTTAATATAAAATTCTTTAAATATTAATTGGGAAAAAAATTACTTCATGAATCACATCTATCACTGTTTCTTAGTATTGTGAATTATTACCATATGAATATATGCCTATAGTAACCCAATATTGTTCATAAATTCATCAATAATTTTACTATATTGAATACAATAATTAATTTGAATCAAGTCGTTTCTAAATAATGTATTTTATATGGTATGTATATATTTTACGAAAATGTAATTTAAAGTTTCAATTTAGGAATTGAAAATTTGAGTCATAAACTTCATCATTAACGCATAGCATTCTAAAAAAAATTAATTAAATATTAACTTTGCCCCCAATTAATTTAAAAATCACATCATTCACTAGTTATTAAGATTGTGAATTATCAGCATATGAATATATACCTATAGTAACACAGTATTGTCCATTAATTCGGCACAAACTAATTCCAAACAAATTATTTTAAAAATATATCCGTTGGCACATTGTTGCTCGTCGGTAAGCAAGTGTTTGAATGATCGCCCAACTGGTATTATTTCATGAACGCCTGTTGATCCGATGTTGTAAGGTGATTAAAATATTCATACAGAGAGGTGGCGTAGTAGGTATATATTATATTATATGTATTTATATACAAAGTACTTGGGTACTTTTGCACGAGCAAAACATGTTTATTTGTATTGAAGAAGGGGACAAAATTAACTGCTTGTGTTTCAGATGCCAATAACTGCAATCTCAATGCTGTAGCATTGATACAGTGATTCTCAACACTAAATATCACCAACTCGATAAAAAACTAATTTGTAAACAGTTTTTGTATTTTTTGCAATAATTTTTATCCCTATCCAGAAAGGACAAATGATATTGTGAGAAAAAATACACATAATTTGTTAATTATGTGAAATTTTTGAACCTAAACAGCAAGGACAAGTGAAATCGTAGGAAAAAATAGACATAATTTGTGAATTTAAACGAACATGGTTGTATGCCGATTTTAAATATTTCACAAATTTTGTAATTAATTGACTCCATAACATAAATACAAATCGCAATTAAATTGACTTACATAAGTGAATATAAATATAAGGCAAATTATTACTAGACCGAACTAAAAACATGTCTTACTCAGATATTATGCGGTAAAGAAACTGATATGTTATGTGCCAGAACGAGCTTAAGGTAGCGTATTATGCGAGAAGTAGTTCAAAAGTAGTTGTCTTAACGGGGTTTCACTGTATATTCTCAACCTTTAACAATTTCGTTCGCATAATAATTGATTGTTCAACAAAATTAATATTTGTATAGTATTTTGAAATTTATTAGTATTTAAACCTTTTATACATTTTTGTTGATTATAATTTCTGAGTATAAATGTTTTTTGTATTAGTTTGTGAAATCAAACAAAAAATTATCGACTGCCGAAAAAAAATAAATTTTGGAATTAATCGATTTCATACTATAAATACAAATCGCAATTAAATTGACTTACATAAGTGAATTTAAATTCAAAGATTAGCATTAAAAAAATTAATAATAACTACCGTTAAACCCCGTTAAGATCAAACTAAAATGATTCTTAAGCAGATAGCCAAAGTGCCTGAATAAGCGTAAAGTGGCGTATTATGCAAGAAATATTTTAAACGTAATAGTCTTAACGAGGTTTTACTGTATGACCTAAAACTTTATCAGTTTCGCTCTCACAGTAATTTCTTGATTAACGACTACACAAAATAAATTTTCAAATATAATGGCTACGTAGAATGTACTTATAATTTATCGATAAAAATAAATTTCTATATTTGTAATATGAAATGTTTCGCAGGTTTTAATATAAAACATATATATTAACATATACAACAGTTGGCTTGTTGTAAACTTCTAGAATTATTATTTAATAATTTTAAATTAGTATTAATTATAACAAAAGATACATTTTAAGATTTAAGGCACTTTATCTTAAGACAAGTTGGGGAAACTTTCCTATACGTGTAAATAAAATCGATATAATCAATATGAACTGAAGGTTAGTAAGTTTCAAAATTGTGACATTAGAAATCTAAAATTTTGACACCGCCAATTGTTCTAAATTTTAGTGATGTTTTATACTACAAACATACTTTTTCCAAGTTTGTTGATACACGATTCATAGTGACTTGATAAGTCGAGAAAACGTAAAATTAGCAAATAGGATTTTCTAGCAAAAACAAAACCTTCTCCTTTGAGAAGTTAATTTAGATTTATAGATTATTATTTCCTCGATTGTCGTTTCTTAAATTCTCGTATTAGATTAATAAAAACATGTATAATTAGCAATTTGAATATAGTGCAAAATGTTCAATGTAACATGCAAAATTGCGAAAAAATATGATTAGTTTAGCAAAATTTAATTTAATACACATGCCTTTTAGTGATGATTATAATGGCTTAGTAGACGTTTGTATCTGTTCTACTGTAGCTATTTTATTACTACCATGATAAATTTTCAACCAGCAGCTGAAAAGCTACGACCGGAAAAAAATCCGCCAGATCGCCGGTTATATGTTCTACTCATTGGAAATTTATATTCTACAAACTTTCAATCGTTTCTACGACGGAATGAAAAAAGTTGCGCTAGCTATAGGTTCAATATCATTGTTATAAATTAAATAAATAAAAGACAGCACCTTTCTTTTATAAGTTTAAGGAAAGAGGCACGAAATACGTTCGATGGATAAAAGAACCAGACAAATATGTCGCAATATTTGCAAAAAATACGCTGGGCTATTAGAACTACGTGCAAATTATTTTTATTATATTCATAGCTACAATAGATGTATGATCATATTACACGTGTTCCATTCAGTCATTTATTTGATTTGAAGCAAATATACCTTCTACGATTTCCAAGTACGTGCGCAGAATACTACTTGAAGTACAGGAATATGGAGCTTTTACTACTTGACAAGGTTGGAACTATAAGGACCATTATGATTCAACAAAGTTATGAATACTTGCACTTAAATGAAGTTATCGTATAACCAAAAACATTATCAGAAAAATTTCCGTATAACAATCGCAAAGCTATGTAACAAGTTCATCCAATACATACTTTATTAGAAACTTCTAATATAAATTAAACATTATATGATAATATCCAGCAAATATAATCAGTGCCAAATTTTATGAATAAACAAACTCTAACTAAATATAAGGCACTAGAGATTTTGCTTTTGCTTTACTTTGCAAGTTGCATGAATATTTTGTTGCGAAAACGTTAGCCAAATTGAATAAATTTTTGGTTCAGGTTTTATTGTGAAAACGTTAGCCAAAAGTGTTGCCCTTTTTGGTCAGACTCTAAACTGATCGTTCCAGAGAAAACGTTGACAAAAGGTTAAATTTAGCTCACATAAGTATACACATACATAGTGTTATTATTTTTGTTGCCAAACGAGTTACAATAGCTTTAAACGATGAGAAAAAATAAAATTAGCAAATTTTCTGGCAAAGACATAAAAAAACTTCTCCTTCAAAAAATTAAAAATGCTTTGTTGGAATTTTAAATCTTGAACATTGCACTAAAATTAGTATGCATTTCTGGTAAACAATTACCAGAAATGCATAAAAACGGTTATCAGTATACAAGCGGTTTTATTCAGAAAACTAGAAAAATAAATTGCCATAGCTAAATATTATTATCTCATTTCTCTCTTTGATGGGAGTTAGATTAAAAGTACATAAAAAAATAAACTATTTACAAATATGTAACTGATTTACCATCATAAACCAATCCACAATTCTCAATAATGTTACGATAATATCTATTCCCCACCCCTGAAATATATTATCCCGATCGCATAAAAACTCTTGCGGTTTGGAAAAGTTTTTATGTCGAATTACAAGTCTGCCCCTATAGGGGAATGAAACCTTTTTACGAGTACACATTGGGTGGGTTAACTTGAACTAACAAAAGTAAAGTTACTAAGAAATAAAGTTTCTCGCTAATGAGATTATAAGCGACGGCTGTTGCCAAGTGAATATATTTTGCATCTGCGAGCGTATCAGGTAAACGTAGGGCAACATGGGTTTGCATCGAATTATGCAAAACAGAATGAAATTATTTTTTATTTAATTAAAAATTAAAATATTCATTCAACATCAAGAAAAATGATTACTGGGGTACTCCGCGGCGCTGAGTACCCCCTTGCTGGGGTACTCAGCGCCCGCATTTCAATCCAGACTTTTTCGGACATCCAAAAATTTCAGTATGTTCATTATTGCTTGCAAAAATATTTTTAAATTTTCATTTAATTCTAACAAATTGGTAATAAATATTGGGTTTTTGAAACATTTTACTTATTTATTTTAGGGATTTTATGCGATTTATTCTTTTGAACAGATCATAGAAAGCAAAAACATAACACTGGTACTTCATATTAAATTATTTTAAGAGCCAAGGTAAGGCATTATTTTAATTGTCCAAAGTAAGTAAAAGATGCAAAGAAGATTTATATTTTTTTAATGATATTGAAAAAACTACATATATTATAAATTTCATATCCGAATCTCGATTTGGCGCCCCCTAAGGCGTGCGCCCGCATTTTTTGCATGCATCGCATTCAAGGTAGGACCGGCCCTGTATATATATATATATATATATATATATATATATATATCATTAATTAAGCGAACTGCTTTTACAAGGTACTCTGCCTCAATGAACTACCTTCAGTATAAATCATGCAGTAAGTCCTACATCACTTGGAAATGTATGCACAAAATATTTTATGTTCACATTTTTAATAGCAATTAGTACTTCAGTTTTATCAGATATTGTGCTCGAACTTCTCCCTTTTCCACCATATTTAGATGGTAACCCAATGGTCGAACTATCAATAGTTGATAGATAATTATCGATAATAGAATTATAATTCTATTATTCATTGATAAATTATTGATCACATATTATTTTATTTGTCTCAAAAATATGTTTCCATTATAAAATAGCCCAGTTGAGCACTAAGTTGATAAATGGCAACGAAAAATCTTACATAGTAAGCTCAAGGGAAATGCATTCTGGCCGAGCAACCATTGTTGTGCATATATAAGCTCTTGTTATAGTTTACGAGTTTGAAAACTTATGATAAATTATGCAGAACTTCCCGGTTTATAAAACTTTCGCGGGTTTTATTACGAAATGGTGCAGAAACCAGGTCGCATTTGCGCAGATCAAGTCTACTTAATAATAACTTAACAACAAAAATGTGCTAACTTTTAAGAATAAAAATGCAATCCTACGCAAATCATTGTAAATTAAACATCGTTTTATTAATTTGAAAATCTTTTTAACTTTATGTGTTGTTTAAGTCTAGCAATTACAGCATTTAAAGATGTTGAGTAATAAGAATCAATGTATAAATCTAAAAATAAAAATTTGCTTTATTCTTTAGTAGTTTATATTATTGGTAGTGCAAAGATTATCAATAACTTTCTACGATTTTTCTTGAAAATTTACTGCAAAAAATATAGTATTATAAACGCATGTTATTTACTCAAAGAATAGAGCAATTATGTTACCATTCTGATGCTATTGACAATTTTTCAATATTACATGTAAATAACATATTATAAATATATGAGTATTTACTTACAACTCTGTCAATATTTGCTAAAAGATAAAACTTGTTAATTATTAGATATATGAGTTTATTGTTACGCCAAAACGGTAGCCTGTTATAAATCCCTATTTATACATCACGCGCATACCAAAATAGTCAAAGCATGGATATTACATATAAAAAAAAATTAACAGAAAAGAAATCGATTCAAATTTCAAAGTAACCATTATCAATGCCTTCAAATGTTTTAAGCGTATACATTTTTATAATAAATAAAGAATTCGAACGCGCGCATAAATGTAATTATTTTCTAGTTCTGCCCCTTTTTTTGTCTAAGGAGATTACACTGAAACCAATTTTTAATTTATTTGACCAAAATTTGATAATTTTTTGAATTTTTTCCTGAAATAGTTTTCTTTTATTTCCGAAGAACTGCATGAACTAATCAGGACTACCGTCGGAAAACGGTATAATTTTACTGATTAATGGCTGTTACGATAATACGGCTCATATTTTATTTCCATTTGTTGCAGCGCCATGTACCCCAAAATCTTAATATGTAAAACAAAAGTAACATATTTCCTTGGTGTCAAGATTTCTTAAGGATAAATAAAAGAAAAATTGTGCTCAACATGCATATGTTTAAACAGTTGCGGCGGTCTTATCGGCGCACCAGGTAACGTTAATTCTTTATATGTAAAATAAATGTCACGAATTTCCTTCTAATAGGCACATCACATAATATATTATATTACATAATTATGTAAGAAATTGTGTTATTAAACATTCGGCCAATTTCAATAAATGCTGATTATTGTGTTATAAAAACAAAAAATCAAGTGAACTTAGTCAAAATTTTGTTCTGAATAACACTTGAAGCTTCAATAAGAAGTTATACTTCATAAAGGATAATGATTTAATTACCAGTTATCGCGACAATCAAATTATATATATATATATATATATATATATATATATATATAATATTTAAGAATTAAATAGCAATATAATTAATAACAATTGTATTAAAATGAAAACAACTTACAATAAGCTTATGGCAGCACTATAAAACAGTACAAATATAAAAATACGTTCTAAAAAATAGTAAAACTGGTTATAAAAAATATTTGCATAAATCGAGATCATGCATTTCCATTTATTCAATTCTTCAAAATTTGTTATCTATTTCTGTGATGATTATAAAACATTCGGCCAATTTCAATAAATGCTGATTATTGAGTTATACAAACAAGAAATCAAGTGCATTTAGTCAAAATTTTGTTCTGAATAACACTTGAAGCTTCAGTAAGAAGTTATACTACATAAAAGATAATAATTTAACTACCGGTTATCGCGACAATCAAATTATATGTATGTATATATGATATATATATATATATATATATATATAATAATAATAATAATAATAATAATAATAATAATAATGAAATATCAATATAATTAATAACAATTGTATTAAAATGAAAACAACTTACAATTAGCTTATGGCAGCACTATAAAACAGTACAAATATAAAAATACGTTCTAAAAAACAGTAAAACTGGTTATAAAAAATATGTGCATAAATCGAGATCATGCATTTCCATTTATTCGATTCTTCAAAATTTGTTATCTATTTCTGTGATGATTAGTATTTTGACCTTTTATAAACTGCAACTATTTTTCAGATACTTGCAATTTTATGCTAAAAATATCACTTTGTCATTTACAAATCTACAATGTAATTTGGATGAACAACTAAAAGTGGATCCTCTTCATGCTCATCAGTTTTCGCTTTGCCTTTTAAACCAGTGGACATCAAAGGAATGATGACTTGATCCTAAAAATTATTTAAATACTTATAGCAATATTTGAAACAAAAAATTGCATAATAATAGATTATTTTACATACATGATATATGAGCCTATCAATCACTTTTTCAACCAAAGACTTTCTTTCAAGCAATTCTTCTTCAGATTCAATTAAATCTGAAATTTGTTCCAAATACCATGCAATAATATCACTGCGTCTTTGTCCTTCTTCACTTCCAGAGCCTATGATTTGAAATAAATAAATGCAAATGTTGTTAAAATTGCAAAGAATTAGTATAATTAGATGTAGCTTATTCATTTTCAAATCTTACGTATCGATTTCCAATATACACCAACACACACTATGAAATATTTTTTTGACAAATCAAATTTTTTTTTATGAAAAAATATGATACCCTATAACTTCTTGATAACACACTTACGTGCACATTAGTAGGATTCTTTTTAAAGTATTAAAGTAGTTAAAAAAAATTATTTTTCAAACATATTTAGGATAGAATCAATTACCTTCCATTTCTAGTTGGTTTTCTTGTCTTCTCATATGCATAACTAACATATTACTAAGAGATTTATATTCATCAAAACTCAGAGTCAGCTTTTTCTTTCCATTGGATACTCCAGTCTCACCAGAGGGGTTATCAACATCCATGGCCGCTGCTTCAATTCCTTCAACCTTTCCAAATTTAAATAAATTAACAAATTAATATTTGCATTTACTAAACTTCATGGAATGTTGAAAAATTTACTATAGAATGAAAAACTATTAAAAAAAATAAAATAAATCATGCACAATTTCATCACTAATAGAGAAAAAACTACAGTATTTTACATTCATATAAAAAATCCAATCACTTACACCTTTAATCACCCTAATAACAATATCCAACTCCATCAATAATTTCATAAAAAAATGAATGAGACTTTACAATCAACAATATTATAATACAAGAATAATGATTGTATTACCTCCATTTGCAATGCCAGTGCAGCATCATTATCTTCATCACCAAAATGAATATCTGGCTGCTCTACACGAATTATAGACTTGTTCAATAATCTGCAAGGGAATAGTAAAAAAAAAGTCTCAAAAATGTTATAAAACTAGCTGTAAGTGGAATTCTGTCTTGAGGCATTTATGGCATCGTGCCTTAAGGCAAATTGCTGGAACTTCCCGTACCGAAATGTTCGAGGAATACTGAATGTTTTCAAATAGATTATTATAAATATTGTAACATTGTCTAATATTTATGAGAATTATATAAACTGAATTGCAGAGTTGAAAATATTTGTAAAGTATATTAGAACTATAGCCAGAATTAAAAATAAAATCTGAAATATTTTTGATAAAACTAAAAATAAAAAAAAAAAAAAAAAAAAAAAAAAATTGAACAAAATTTTTTTTTCCAAAATCAATTATTTTGTTAAGACAAGCAGAAAGTTCTTTGAATCATTTAAATCGGACGCTTAGTTCTCTCAAAAACTGCCATTTTTTACATATTTAGCTCCATATCTTCGAAATGGCTGGGCCTGCCTTTGCCAAAAACTAATAAGCACTTCTCCCAATCATTACTAATTGAATGCTTTTTAGATCATTCAAATCAGATACTCCGTTCTCTCAAAAATTCGATTTCTATTTTCTGCACTCTTTGCTCCGTATCTCCGAAACGGCTGGACCTGCCTTTGCCAAAAACTAATCAGCTCTTTTCCCTATCAATAGGAATCGAATGTTTTTTGAACCATTCAAATCGGTTGATCCGTGCGCCCTAAAACGTGACTGGAAATTTGTATCCATACATACATACACACACACACACACACACACACACACACACACACACATCCATTTTTTCTGAGGTATGCCAAAACGTTCAAAAACCTTCAAAACGTCGAGAAATGTTAAAATTTTCAATTCCGATTTTCGGCCCATTACAATAACTTACCCTACGGGAAGTTAATAATTTAGTAAGTTTAAATTTGATATTATTAATTTACCTATATGCTTCCTTTACATGTTTAGGTTGCACCTCATCACTACATTCCATTTTAGCCATAGCTTCCGACAATCTAATCATGGATTCTAATTGTCTCACAGTTATTCGCCATGTCGATTTGCTGCTCGATGTACCCTCTCTCTGCCTAAGTTGATTATAATTTTCAACTAATAGATTAGCTGCTTCAGCATTTATAATAGGTTTAAATTGACGAGCAAATGTAATATAACGAAGGACGTCTTCACGTGAATATACTTGTTCTACAGAATCTTCTATATTGCAATGCAAATCAACAATTTTTCTGGCAATTGCATAATCAATAACCTAGAAACAAATATTTAAATTTAAATTACAATAACTTGTTAAGATTATAATAATTTCATTTACAATACAAATTTATTTAAAAAAACACAAGAATAAATTTTAAATTTTTTTTGAGTGTTGAATTTATAACATTTTTAATTAAAATACTTCAAAATTAGTAAATTTATTTCAATACGTCAAAAGTAAATTCTTTCAATTACAAGAACTCAAATACAAAAAGAGAAAAATATTTAAAAATAAAAAATTAAAGCAGTTTTTAAAAAATTGAATCTATTAATTCATAAAAAAGTCTTCCAAATGTTTTAAATAAGATAGTAGAACAGGATTGGAATGAGTGGTTTTGAATTTTTTCCATGCATCAAAAAACTAATTTTAAAAAAATATTACCATAATTATTTATTAGTTATTTCTCATTTATTTGAGATAATATTGTATCAAGCTAGATTTCGAATACTCTTTAATATTTATGTCTTATATATTGACAAATAATTAAATATTTTAATACTATAATAACTTACCTCATTGCATTCATCCACAAGAATGAAAAACAAGTCAAATCTACTCATAATGGGAGCACTGAGCATAATATTTTGCTGTAGTGATTTTGATCTATCATATCTACCCCCAATAGGGTTTGCAGCAGCTAATATACTGGTTCTTGCATTTAATGTGGCTCTTACACCAGCTTTTGTCAATGAAATAGTTTGCTGTTCCATAGCTTCATGAATTGCTACTTGATCCCGGGGATCCATTTTATCAAACTCATCTATACAACAAATACCATTGTCTGCTAACATGAGAGCACCTGAATAAAAATACATAATAATTAATGTGCTTTCTCACATCAAAATTCACATCACATCTTGCAAACTCTTAATGATCATATAAGTCAAATCATTATATCAGTCAAAATAAACAGCTCTACAATATTTTGAATAAATTTATAGTACTCTACAAACAAATAACATACCAGCTTCAATAACAAAGTCAAAACTTTCTTCATCACGTACAACAGCAGCAGTTAAACCAGCAGCTGATGATGCTTTACCACTCGTATATACAGCTCTTGGGGAGAAATCAGCTACTTGCTTCAAAAGTTGAGATTTTGCAGTACTTGGATCACCAACTATACAACAGTTAATGTCACCACGCAGAGTAGTTTCTAAAAAATAAATGTATTAACTAATTAAAGTAATTAAGTGATAAATGTAGATAAATTATTTATACATTAATGTAAGTTATGTTTAATGTTATTAGGAAACAATCCAAAAATAACATGTTATACTAAATTAGGATCAAAATAAATCAAATTTGAAATATTTCAATTCTTATCATATCATATCATAAAAACAGCATATAATAATAATTTAAAATAGTTATACTGACTTTCTATAGTGGTCTTAGCAACTCCACCAAACAGCATCAATAAAACACCCCTTTTTACTTCATCATTACCATGTATACTTGGAAACAAACTGTTTATCAAGTTTTGATAAAGCAAACGATCTCTGGACATTTCATAAACCTTTGGTAAACAAACGTTGCATGTTTAAAAACAATATATTAAGATTACTAAAAATATAAATTAAAATAATTACCTTATTCCATTCTTGATCAGTCATCTGCTTCTTCATTATTTCAGCAGTTACTTCCTCCATAGGTAAATCAGTACCACCAAATCTCGCAGTTGTAGCTTGGACAGAGCATGCCAAAAAGGACATTCGGTAATTCAAATCACGTACTCCCAAGGCCTAACAAATACCCAAACAAAATTCAATAAGCAAAGACATAAAAAGAATTTATCACAAAATAAATTCTAATAATACCATTTAAAAACATAGTTCTAAATCAGTAATTTTATAAACTATAATGATTTATGATAATATTTTTTATACTATAGAAAAATTAAATGCATTATAAAATATTATTGCATAATTACTGAACCAATAATTTGCAGATATAAATAAAACTACTGCATAAAGCATAGACTTAAAAATCATATACCATATAAATTAATTAATTTTTAATTAGTAATTTAGATAAAAGTTAATTAAATTAAAGTTCTTTACCTTAATTCCTCTAACACCTTCCCCTTGATTTTCACCAGCTTTGTGCCTAGATCCGCTTTCAGCTTTTGCTCCTGGTAAACTCAACGCACCGACATCAGGAACTACTATCAGGGTACCAGTAAAGTCATAGCGGTCACCAGCCTATTAATTATATTGCATTTATTATTAATAATTTAATATTGCACTTTGTTAACTGATTAATTATGATTTGTATTTTGCAATTCAAATCAAGCTCTTTTGTGCATTTTAAAATAATTTTAACTATTATGATTATATTCATGAATAACAATGTAAAATTCAGAATTATTTAACACTAAAAATTACCTGTACTGCTTCAACAGTCTCTGCTCTTAATATAATTTCTACACTTCTTGGAATGCAACCTCTAGGTAATTCAGACTGGGTTTCTTGTATTCGAACTTTTTGAAAATCAACAAATAAACTTTTATCAACATCCAACATAAACCTTTTCCTATTGCTGCATACTGGATTTCGACATATAGTTGGATTTGTAAACTGTTAAAATAATTACAAGATTTGATAATACAATGATCAAAATAGGAATTAAAATAATAAAATTGAATATAGTGCAAGATGCTGTACGCACAAAAAAATGATCTATATATAACTACACCGACTTAATAAAGTAGCTTGCTTAGTAACTTTCTTCTAATCTCAATTAAATTTTCAGAATAAATTCATTTTATAAAACAAATAATATCTTTTAGAAATTATTAATTAGATTAAAAAGTGATTATTAATAAAGTGAAAATAGAAACAATACCTTAAATTGTTGTTCAACATCTTTTATTACTGTTTGGCAATCTAGGCACACAAAAGTTCCAGAAACTAACTCTGGATGTACAGGATGTGTTCTAACAACTTGGCCAGAAATTCTGATAAGAGTTCCAATTTTTGCAGTCGTTAATTCTCTTACTTTGTGTCTTGTAGGAACTTCAGTAAAAGAGATATAACATTCTTTTTCTTTCTTAAGATCAGTACGATCCTTGACAAAATTGCTAACTGCTTGACACAGATATGGATAAATTCGAAAATATTCTTCAATAATTGTTGTGGCTAAGTTTTGGTTATATTTTTCAACATCTTCAAAACTAACTTCAAGGGTGCTACGTTCAGGACTCACTAATTCTTGAACAGGTTCTAAATATTTCACTTCACCTTCTTCCTTATATCTAATAATGTAATCAAGTTAAATTTTATTATAAATTTATAAAGTATTTTAAGAGATAAGTAATAATAAATCATATTATTAACATTTGTTATCACAATTGTGCTTAAGCATATTATCACAAGCGAATAATGGTAAATAGATTACGGGTAAAAGATTAACACATTGTAGAAATGTACAACTGCTAGAGAAAAGTGAAATAAATAAGAACATTAAAATTACACGAATCTTTTAATTTCAAAATATTTAATTTATTAGGTCGTTCCAAGAAAGAATTTGAAGAAAACAAACCTAATCAATTTAGCACTTAGCTTGTAATTTTTCTATTACTAATACATTTTTAAATGTTATATCTTTTATAGCAATACAATGCAACTGATTTGAAAGTTTTTTCGTTCATTGATTAATTACGCGAAATACTTACTCCTCTAAAAAATCTTGAAACAATTTTTGACAACGAATTCCAACTTCATCTTTAACACGCAACTGCCCTACATGATGATCCGCCACATCCATTATTAAATTAAAATATAAACAAACACAAAACACAAAAATTTATTATCAAAATATTTTGTTTGAAATAGGTAAAGTCTAATCTCTGTTTAACAGATTTGACAATTTGTTAAGCCTTTTCCCGCCATAAAATGTTTTATATTGAAGTTGTGCTATTAAAGCAATGGTGTATTATGTTCTAATCATAGATGGACCCATAGGTTACATACCCGCGAAATTTAAAAAAATAAAATCTAAATCACATATATCTCTTGGAAAAGACATTCACTTCTCATTTAAATAACATAAATTATTAAACTTGTATATTGTGTCATAAGTGAAATCAAACAATTCATCAAATTTAGTATGATTAGAAATATATTTTTTATAACATATTGAGGAAATTTAGAAAACTAATTTACTAACTAACTTCTACTTCTTGTACTACTATTTACTTCTACTTCTTGTACTACAAATATAAATATAAAAATTAAAAAAAACTGTATTTAATATAGTAATATATATTCTAACTTCATCTTTAACACGCAACTGTTCTACATGATGATCCGCCACATCCATATATATATATATATATATATATATATATATATATATATATATATATATATATAGTATGTAATGTAGTTAATTTGTCATGTAGTGTATGTAATGTAGTTAATTTTGATGTTGAAATATATGAGTGAGTTCTTGAGGGCGATACATCAAACAAAGAAAAGCCAAAGATTTATAAAATAATCTTTATTTCCAATCGTTTCGACATTCAATTTAATGTCATCATCAGTGGATATTACGTTGGTTGGTTACATATAGAGAAGTGTACACAGCACTAGAGATTGGCACTAACATTTATACAACTAACTTGTCAGCACTATGCATTTTTTATATAATTTTTTTGTATGATGTAAACAGAAAAATGATAGTTTTATTGAACAAAAATGTAAGTAGAATTATGTAATTTCTGCCACGACTTCTGTACTTTGCTAGTACCGAGGCATGTATAAAGATTATTTTATAAATCTTTGGCTTTTCTTTGTTTGATGTATCGCCCTCAAGAACTCACTCATATATATATATATATATATATATATATATATATATATGATTTTATTTTTCTGGTCTAACTTCCCCAAAAATCACAATTGTACATACCCCGGTTACTACCGTGATACATATGTTGAGTTCTTCAAAAGGCCTTTCAGTTTAGAAAAGTAAAATCATAAATAATAATAGCATTCCAAGAAAATTTAGACAACTAATTTGGATAATGTACAAGTATATAAAACTTATATTACATAATTTAATACATTTCTACTTCTTACACTACAGAAATATATAAATTTGAATAAATTGTATTTAATATAGTAATATATACATACATATATATATATATATATATATATATATATGTATATATATATATATATATATATATGTATATATATATATAAATGATTTTATTTTTCTAGTCTAACTTCGCTGAAAATCATAATTGTACATATCCCAGTTACTACCGTGATACATATATGTTGAGTTCGTCAAAAGGCCTTTTAGTTCAGAAAAGTAGTATCATTATATATAATAATATCAATAATTAATAATAATAGCCATCCAGCTTATTCTTATATCAATAAAAATTATTTTATAAAAGCTTCTATTATTGCATAGGCACTAATTTGAAATTGAACAAACCCAAAAGTATGTCTTCAATTCTAAACTGCATTCTTGGTATGACTGAAATTATAATAATAACATTTTTAATAGTTTAATATACAGTTTCAATACAATTAGTTAAGAATCAAATATAAATATAGTAACTATTACATTGGTGATAAAATGTACCAGACAAAATTATAATGCATCAATTATATTTTGGAAATAATGTTTACATTTCAATGGTCACTGTGTGTAACATATCTGGTATGTAAAGAAAAGATAAAGTAATGATATTGTTCAAAGTAATTACTTTTATTTTATTTAAAATTCAAAACAAAAACTACATCATGTTACTGAATATTTATTGAAATTTCAATTATATATTACCTTATTCTCTCCAGAAGCATAATGACCATTTTCTTTGCCAAGGTTTGCTTCGAGAGTTGTTATTGGTTTAATATCAGGTATAGATATTAATGTACCTGTATAAGTACAAATATCACCTATCTGCAAAAACATGACACTAATTAAGCAATGTAATAATCACTTAAAACACAACACTAAAGTACTTATTACGAGCATTTAGCGCAAACAAGATTTTACATATATATAATTATTTGATCATTTTAATAATTATTCATTTATAGATAAGTGAGTGTGATTTTGGTGGAAAAATATATCAAAAACAGTTTTTTATACTCTTCTTAAAATTTAATACAACATAGGAAAAAGTAGAACACAAATAGTTGCAAAAACTATAAAAATAACATGTAATAAACATATTGTGAATATAAAAATATCTTAATAGAAATTAAGTTGTTTTAGTAATGATATGAAATACATTATTATGTAATATGAAAAAATAAAGATACACTATATGTGTATTGTAATTATTTCGTAATATCTAATTACGTAATGTAGATTACATATTTCTTTCACTAGAATTACGTAAGATTATGTAACTGGTTTAGTGGGTAGTGTTATAACTAAGCATTACCTCAAGTAAATCAGTGTAGTCAGCTCTCAATAAAACATTCCTCATTATTGGTATATTCTTTATTGATGGTATTTCTTGAACTAAACCCATTTGGAAATTAATAAAAATACTTTTATCATGATCTAATTTGAATCCTTCAGAGTTTTTACATATTGGTCCATAGCAATATTTTGGTTTTTTGAACTAAAAAAGTTGAAATAGATAAAATAATAATAACTCAAAAAGCAAAGAAAAGATATATGCAATGATTTAATAATTGTTAGTTGTTTCAATGAAAATTATTTGTATCATACCACACACTGTTCTTCATAAACTCGGATTTCACGAGTACATTCTAAACAGACAAATGTTCCAGCAACTACTTCAGCATAAATAGGACTTGTAGATACAACTTGCCCAGTAAAACTGGTGAGTTTCCCAATTATAGAAACATTTACATCTTCAAGATTATATTTCATCGGAAATTCATTAAATGCAACATAATATATATTTTCATCATTAGGCCGAAATAGTTCTTTAATAAGATTATTGATTGCTCGACACAGACATGTATATATTTCAACATAATCATGTTTGATTATTGTAGCTAAGATCACATCATATTTTCTTAAATCTTCAAAACTCACTACTAAAGTTATGTGATCGGGATGATATAAATTTTGAATCATTTCTAAATACTTATGCTTGCCATGACGTTCGAATCTGTAACAAAAATAATGCAATGTTAAAACAACGAACAGAATTAACAAGCATATAATTGTGAATGAATGAATGAGTTCATGAGTTGTTTCACATAATAAATTCTTTGTACATACTTTTGCAGAAAAACTTGGAACTGCTTTTGCAAGCTGCATCGGATTGTTCCCTTTTGTTTCATTAAAACAAAATCAATTTTGTTCACGGCACTCATTATTATATTGTCTGCGGCACTCATGTTAATTATATTTTTGAACAAAAATTAAACGTGCCGAACAATACCAGCACGAAGTAGAATCACAACAGTTGTTAACACATCAACATCGTACCAACAGATGGCAGACTACTTATAGCCGCCGTTTTCAAAAATGACGTGATTGTAAATTTTTATTTTTCAGAAAAGATCTAATTGGATTTAGCATTTTGTGTATTATTGAACACTTTTTTATTCTATTTTTGAAACATGCAAAACATGTTGATTCCATGCTGATTTAACGGATCCAACTCGACAAAATGGCATGAAGTTGGATACGGACGCTTGACAGTACACCATTTTAGTTGTTTCCGCACTGCATAGGGGCGCCACCAAACTGATTTATTTCTAGATAACATTTATATAAATATAATATGGAAAAGATAAATCTGATTAATTTGAATAGATAAAGTGAAAATAAAAATTTGCGTATGAAATATATTTTCAACCAAATTAAACGCTTAAAGTACGTGTAGAATAATATTGACAAATCAGTTCTTTAATAAGAAGGATGAATTTGAACACAGGGTAAGCTCATTTATTCTAAGTTTGATACCCATGGGTAGTACCTAATACCTATTACCTACCCATATACTTTTCTTTCATCTATGTACCTACCATATTCAAATCAGTGATTCCCAAAGTGGTCCATGTGGACCCCCGGAAGCCCATAGCTAATTTCAGGGAGTCCACCTCAGCAAAAACAAAATTTTGGAGGTGCACGAAATGAAAATGGAGGTCCACGGTTGTGGATCACACACGCTATATTAAAAGTTATTTACTATTATAATAAACGATATTAACCCTTTCCACTCAGATGCCGCCGCTCCGGCGGCAAAATACATATAAAACTCGAGTGGAAAGGGTTAATATACATTGACTTTTGATAGAACTTATAATATAGCAAGCAATATTTATAAAAGAACCTAAAAAGTGAAGAAAACAGTACATACTTATTATGCATATGAAAATGTGTAAGTTGTAGGATTAGACAATTGCTTTGTAGTCGAAGCATATTTGGAGCTTATGTTCGAGCTCGTAAGGCTTATGTTTGCCAACATTTGAGTTTCAGAATTGTTGGCCAAAACAAAGAAGAACAATTTTGCACTTATTTGCCAAGGGAAAAAAACGGTTAGGCAAACTAATTTACAAGAGAGCTCATCGAGTTATTTCTGCACACATCCACAAAAAACAGTGATTGAGAGGCGTTGGCAAAAGACTCTTTGGACCCTTCTTCTGGGTCTAGGACTCACTAACTATAGTTTCTGGTACTATGTTAATGTACACCGCAATCAACATGTTAACTTACTAAATAATTATCTGAAATTATGCTTATTATCTTAGCAAAAGTTCATTAAATTTCGGGCTATTTTTTATCACATTTCTCTATTTATTTATTTTATATTTATAACAGAACATTATTATATATCAATTTCTGAATCCACTTGTGAATGTAAATGATCGGTCGCATCGTGGGATTTGTTTATTTTGTAATTCACACCATTTCGGAAGATATATTAGGATAGCATTGCAGAAGTCAAATAAAAGGGGCAAATAAATAGAATGACGCAGAAAATAGAGTTAGCACAAAATATAATTAATCATTTGTAAAAAGAATGCATTATTTATTCAAAACTGGCTATGGCCGGTTCCAATAAGTATCAAATGACGCAGAATATTAAATACTATTTAAATACATAAAATAGAGGAGTATAGAAAGGATATGAATGACAACAGGTTATTAAACTAAAATTAATTTAAGAAAAGTAATTGTAAACACAGTTGTCAGTAATTGTAAAACAAAATGTATAAAATAGTACAAATCGATATATAATATAAATATTAGTATTTTAAAGAGCACAAATATGATAATTCATAATACACCCTCACCTTACTTAGCATCGGTGTTACATTTCAAAACAAACGACGTAAAGTGTATTGAGATTTTCTATAAGAGCCATATAAAAAACGAGGAAGGTTTTCAGGGTTACGAAAATATTATTTTTAAAATGGTGAGTGAACATTTAAAAAATGAAAAATGCTTTAAATTAAAACAAATTATTCTATGAAAAACAAAATTGAAATGAATCACTGCCTGATGAGTCCACAGTAACTGTTGTCAAAAGATGGCTTTCTTTCGCAGAAAAAAAAGGTTAAATATTCTCTGAACAGCTCTCTCTTTAAACATACAAAATACTTAGAAACACCTTCCGTTGCTAGGACCTGCTTTTTAAAAAAAAATCGATAGCTTCGTCAATTCGGCTAAATTTTGTTTTCTGAAAACTTCTATTGAACCATTATAGCCATCTTCTTCATTAACAAATTGCAATTCTATTGCTGTTTATTAGAAAATTATTGGCGAGGTGAACCATTCATTTATGCCATCTTCGTAAAATTAAAAAAAAATCGAAACAAAAACATTTTTTTCCAGTAAAAATGAGGAAGTTGCCTTGCCAAGGTAATGATTCAGGTAGTCCTTTCTACTTCGCCCACATTTAAGCTTTTATAGAGATTATATAAAAATCTGTTGAATCTTAACTAAAAATAACCATGCATTTCAGAAAACAATTAAATAAAGTATATTTAGAAATTATATTAGATTTAATAAAAAAGTTCAAAACCAAAAACAATATCAACGAGAAGAAGTACTTTTGTTATAAATATTATCCCTGATAGCGACGTCCTAAAAATTAATGTGTTGGCTGGTTACACATTCTTTAACCTCTACTTTAAAATAGTATCGATGCAAAAATCTATGCATAACTTATTGTTTTTGAGAGAAAAATGGTAGACATTTCTACCCTCGAACCTTGAAGCCCCGCTCCAAAACCAAAACTGAGTAAATGAGTATTACACGTTCGTATGCATTTATGTATCGAATAAATTTGTATTACATTTACAATCTCATATTGCGTTTATGCTCGTCAGTATTTCACAGTAAAATGTTTTTCAGAGCAAAACAGTTATTTCCCAAGAGAATACAAGTGCAAGCAAAACATAAGTCCGTTTCATAAGAAGTCTGAAAACAATGTCATAAGATTACTGTGGAATTCCACAAAGATCAAGCATTATTCAGCTCATCTTGTGATTTAAAATACAATTTTGATGGAAATTAACTTGGTAATCAAGGAAAGGCATTTAGCATTTAGATTTATGAATTATTTGCTCAATAGGAAAAATACCTTGAAGGAGAGTATTCATATATCAAACAATGAATAGGAAGGAAATATTCACCTTTTAGTCCTAAGTTTGAATCTTTTAGAAATTTGTGTATGAGCTATATTATTGTCTTATTTGATTTTATGATATTTACATAGATATTTTTACGTATCTTGTAAAGTCATTTTTCATATATTAAAATAGAAATCAGAATTATGTGTTCTATGAACTGTTGTAATGTACATTTGCTAACTAGTTAAAGACAACTTTTTTCTTTGTGATGAGGTTTTAATAGTCTCTAGCATTAATAGTAATGTCAATGTACATTGCAACAAAGTCTGCAAAGCTATTTTTACTTAATATATCATATCATATTTAAATTTAATAATTTCAAATGGATAATCTCATATCATTCGTGTTTGATATCAAGCTGGCCAAAGTAGGTATCGAACCCGAAAAATATCTCGAGTTAAGAAAATTTTCCAAATTCTTTTTCTTGATTACGACAAGAAAGTTGTAATAAGTAATTTGTGCTTTTACAATTCTATACTAAAGTTAATATAAAAAAATCTTAAATTGTTTTCTCATATTTTGATTTTGACTTCAACTTCAATAGATTAATATTCGGCTTCTAAAAATATAATTTCTGAATTTAAATCAATGCCTTAATTAAATTAAATATTTGAACACGTGCCATTTTGGTTTACTGGGTAGTATATTAATATGAAAAACCTACATTAACTTATTTAGAACAAATCACTAAATTAATTATAGCCTTCGGTTAATATAATTGAAAGAGTCATTTAAAATGAAGTGATCAAAAATAGTTTTAATGATGAACAAATTAACCCACGTAAAATATAATCAGTTTTCACATGACAAATTATTTATATAACAAATAATTATTGATATGTCCAAATAAATAGCGACTATTACAATTTAAAACCATTTCGCGATAATTGCAATTAAAACGTGTACACCGTTTTAACCAATAATTTTATTTTGGGATGAGCAAGGAAAGTTATTTTTGCTAACAATAATACATATATATATATATATATATATATATATATATATATATATTTTTTTTTTTTTTTTTTCATTCAGTTATTCAAAAAAGACGAACTTTTTTAAAAACACAAATTAATTCTCCCAATACCAGTACCAACATCAAAAACACCAATCTTATTTACTGCAGCATACCATACGTTGAAGATTTATATTATTATTTTGCCAAAATTTTGTTAGAAGAAAACATTTTAGTATCAGGCTCATCCTTACACTCCTTCAACCAATTCTTTACGAATATTAAATCTCCTACCCCATCCAATTTCAATACTAATGTAGTATATTCTGTTTCTTGTAATGACTGTGCTTTTCAATATATTGGACAAACCTCGCAATATGTACACAAGAGAATGAGACAACATGAACTAAGTGTGGTCCACCATAAACAAAAAAATTTCAAAAGTACCCTAGTACAACACTCTATAGAAAACGCCCATTCATTTAATTTCACTCCAAAGATTTTATATCATGAAAGTTGCATTTTTAGGAGATTATTCGCGGAGAGTTGTCTTATTCTCTTGAATGTTTCTAACAGTGTCAACATTAGATCAGATCACAACCTATTACATGATTCATATTTAAATTTTTTACACTTTTTGACAAACAATTAATATCGACTTCATTTTAAGTTCAATAATTTAAGTATTTACACCCTAACATGAGAAAAAAACACACACATACAATCTCACAGTTCTCGTTTCAAGTGTTTACACGTGTTACATATGAATCCATCAAATACAGTTTAGTTCGCTTCCAAAAGCCA